GAGCTCACCGTAATCCCCCCACCCCCCCCCCCCGGCCCGCCCCTAACCGGATGATTCGATGGTCCTTGTCGACTTCGACGGACGAACAACATTCTGAAAGTCCAAATTGACACCACAAATAAACATGAGAAGTTGTGAGAGACTAGTAGACTCATCCAGTGCCAGAGAATATCACTGCAAGTTCCTAGCTTTCTGACGTGTCTGTAGCACTATGTTCTCTCCGAATTCTCCTGTTCTCAGCACAACTGAACTGGCCGAAGAGCCGTTAGTTCCAAGCGTGGCGACTACGTTTTTTAATGTCCCCGTATGTTTCCAACGCTTCTCTTTCTTTCACCCATTTACAGTTTGTGGTAGTTATCAGACTATGATATATTAGCGGGGATATGCTTAATGGAAATCGATTCTTATTTTATTTATTTTTTCTAAACAAGCTTTTCCCTAAAAACAACAACCTCATGTTACTTTGTAGTTGTTTTTTTTTTTAAACGATGTCATCATTTGTGAATTAATTCTTATTTAAATACATTTTGTTTTATGCTGATCTGAGTTAGGGTTTGAACCACGTTAAATTTCACCAGTAGCTTAATTTTTTTACCAGTGATAGTCTGTGATAATGTGATCTGTAGGTCCACTCAATAGAAACTCATGTCAATAGCAAATAGACGTCTGCAAAGCAAAGTGACCGCATACTGCAACAACGTCGGTCATCTACTGTTAGAAGTTAACTGTTTTGATGCGAGCTTCAGAGGCGTAGCGTGGTGGGGGCAGGGGGGACAGATGTCCCCGTGCGCCAGCTAGTTAGGGGCGCCAAAATGTGATTTGATATTATTTGATTGATGAAAATAATGGGTTTGAGAGTTGAAAAAAAGAAAAAGGGGCGCTAAAATAGATCTTGTCCCCGGGCGCGAATCTTGTTCCCGGGCGAACACCCTCGCTACGCCACTGGTGAGCTTAACTCACTCCCACTAGGCACTGCGGTGCGAGCAGTTATTGTATTAGCTTTACACACTGTAAATTTATTTATTTAATATTAAGATACAGTATTGCACAATTTTGAGACGATATTGTACGATTTTAGGAGTTCGAGGATAAACAGGTCTGCAATTGTCAAGAAGATCTAGATACCGGTACAATAATTTAAAATTGAAAATGGTAAATTAAGGCGCATAGCAGCCAGGAGGTCTCCGCAAGTGTGAAGATCGCCTGGTATTCTAAACATAATATTTAAATTTCAATTGTATCACAACGTTACATACGTTTTATCAAGCAAGCTCAATGGGACCCTGGTACGAATGGCAGCGATGCGTGTCCGGGTCCGTTTTGACTAAATCCTATTCGGACGTCAGTTGTGGTTGTTTATTTTGTTGAACTGAAGTATCTAGTTTACAAACACGTAGTCCATTCAATTGTATTTCATTTGATATCTCATTTTTGTCTTAAAACCCAAAAATAGTTTAAATAGTTTTTTTTAATCCCAACCTCTCACTTATGGTACCTGGGTGCGAATAGTCGCAGCCTTTGGAAAGTCGGAGTTGTGGAGTGAACTCGTGGTCCTGTTTGAAATACAAACAACCGATTGCGAGTTACACCATGCCTGCCTCTCCCGGGGTTCTATACCTGTATAATTCATAGGAGGGTATCATTTTTTTTTTAATATTTGAGATCTATATTTAGATTTCAGGGACCAATGGTAAAGGTGCCAACATTTTTACTATGGATGTCTGTTAAGGATTGTTAATTAATGCCAAAATATTGCTCCCCCCCCCCCATTATTACCTTCCTCATACAACTGCATGGACTCGCCACTGCCGCCCAGGAATCCGTGTCCCGTGATGCAAGGCGACAAGTCGTGGTATTTACAATCCTTCATGGGTATGTCGAGCATGAAATCACTGTGCTATAAAAACCATATATTATCTTTATCGGGCTGTTGCACACATGACTAGGGACTTAACGATAATAAAACACGACATTTTGCTGAGACATTCGTGTCGGGGCCGTCCAGAAAGTACGGCCCGCTATTTTTTGATAAATTTTACCCACTCCCTCGACTTGTCGCAATCTGTCACAAATCGAAGACACCCCCCCCACACACACACACACACACATACACACACACAAAGCAAAGAATTTCACACTTTCGAAATTTAAAAAAAAAAAATTGTTGAAAATTTAGCAACTAATTAAAATGTAATCTAAAAGACACTTACTGTTAATCTATTATGCTAAATGTTTAAAAGTGAAGTCTTCTGTAAGAATACATTCATCACAACAGACGGTTTAACATCACTGTCAGAATACACCTATCACAACAAAAAGTTTAACTTCACTGCCAGAATACACATATCAGAACACAAAGTTTAATTTCCATGTTAGTTTCGGGTTTAATTTAAATTATTGGAAAAAAATGTGTGACTCCACACAAGATCTTTAACCCCTAACCCCCCCCCCCCCCTTTCCGTCTCACACACTGTCACACTTTCTTTTACCCCACGCCACTCCCTCCGGAGCGTGACTTTGTAGAAGGCCCCTAACACAAATTTTGTTTGCGGAAATGTGGGGCCTATTTATTGTTAACGTCTGCATATATTTAATTTAAATAAACCTCTTTGGTGGCCATAAAAAATTGAAGGTCGACTTAACACGTGTCATATTGTTTTTATGTTGAAGCGAGCAATACACACAAAACTCATTTCAATATAACTTACAAGACTGGTAGCACCACATTGTCCATGCAGGGAAATCACAAAGACTTATTAGGTGTGTATCATCAGGGGGCATGACACACAGAAATCACGACAAATGTCAGCTGTAACATACACACTAACTGAGCTGTAAAAATGGTCTATATACTTAATAAATTTTTTTTTAAAATCTTGACCTTTTTATGATCTGTATCAAGAGGAACATCGACGTTGGTTGCAGAAGTAGCAAAACAAGTAAGGGTATACGAAGCCAAATATCCAGTTCAACGACTCCGAGTTTACAAACCTAAATATCCTGGTCAGCGACTCCACGTTGAAGCAAAAGAATCTAATTCTACAAAGGGCAACAACTCCAATTCCGATTAGAAGCCTTGCTGCGCACACCTGAACCAGGGGACGTCACAGGCTGTTGCTCAATACGGATGTAACATGAAGTGTCGAGTGTCTTCCCAAAAAATTCCAAGAAAATGTTATGTCATTGATTAAAAATAAATACATTTGCCTGACTTGGAAACAGCCATGCAATGTTGAATCCACTTATCCACTGACACAAATTTAAAGCAATGTAACAATGTTGTTATACATGTACAGCGTTTTCATATACCACATAAGTTTCAGATAACATGCTGTTCTACTGATGTAGAAATGTATCTACCAAGCATCGTATCTAAAATATTGATTGACAGCCCTCGATGGCGGATTTAGAAGTGGTCTCAAGCAGTGGCGTAGCTAGGGGGGGGGTGCGGGGTGCGGACCGAATTTTCATATAAGGATAACTGATCACACGTAAAGTTGCCACACATTTAACCAATCCAAAATGCGTGCTGTTTTAAAAGATCAAGGTTGGTGTCTCAGAAATGAAATGACCTTTTTTACAATAACTTCAGAAAAACACCGTTTGGCCATGATTAAACGCCGATTGAAGCGTTCGGTAACTTACGTAAGAGCAGGGAGCTAAATTTTGAGAAATAAAGCTTTCCATTGATACCAAATACGATGTGGTCGGGTGATTCTAAGGACATGAATCTGAATCGGTAAAAAAAAAACACACAAAAAAACAACATTGCTATACTGTGGACTTACAAAATGACCGAAAATACGTGCACAAGACAATGTTTTTGGATTATCGTCGGTGGTGTAGCTAGGGTTAGTACGCACCGGGTTGAGCCAAGATTTTTGCTGCCCACGAAAAGAAAAAAAATAATTTAAAAAAAAAAAGCTCAGCAGTCAGCCAAACAGGCCACCCCTGCACATAAAGAAAAAAAATGCCGCCCCTGACGGACCGCTCCCTCTGAACCCCTTTCCTATGCCACCGATTACAATAATAATATTTAAATACGAAATTTTATATTCAGTGTCGGATTCATTATTTTGGATTTGGGGAAAAGGTTGGACAATTGATCTCATGAATTTTGTGGAGTGGATGGGGCTCAGTCTAGCGAGGCAGTTGTTGTTGGGTTGTTTTTTTGTGTGTGTTTTTTTTTTGTTTTTTGTTTTGGGGTGGGGGGGGGGGGGCTTTGCCAAAGTTGGTTGCATTTGCGTTCAGATTTTTCTTCATGACTGGCGTGTCTGAGATGCAAAATGAACCGTATTTACTCAGTTTTATTGTCATTAAACAATTTACCATGTGTGTTACTTTCATAGCCATTCCTCTACAGAGTTGTAAAAAACACCTTAGCACGCTTGAAGATCCATCACCAGGGATGTTGTGTGAGAAGCAGAGCCATCGTGTGGGCTCCTGACACCCCTGCCTGGGATATTTAATAAAGGGGGGGGGGCCAAATTTGCAAAACCGAAAAGTGGCAAAGGTCTCCGAAAGTCACGCGATGGCCCTGGTGAGAAGATGATACGTTTAAAATGATACGTTTAAAACTAAACTCACGAAATATTTCAACACTGTAGAAAACAATTAATAGTGCTTAAGTGTGGATAGTTTAATGGGGTGTGATGGAAAAGGGTGGTGGTAAGCGGTAAAGTTTGGAGGACGAGCTAATTAACAATGTGTGCAAGACCCTGAGGTTCTTAAGGCGAATCTGAAGATCGGCAACTCCAGTGTGAAAGAAAGAGCCTGTAAAGCCTTTGTCCGGCCGCTTTTATATTACGCATCTTCAGTCTGGAAACCATTCACACAGAAGAGCATTGACAGGTTGAAGGTGGACAAGTGATGGGCAGCACGCTTTGTCCTGAACCGCTAAAGGAAAACCTCTAGAGTTGGGAGCGTGCTGGAAAAACTAGGGTGGTCACCATTGGAGGAACGACAATGACTATCCAGGCTCACCATGTTGTACAAGATAAATAATGGGCTGGTCCACTGCTACAGCATTTAACAGAAACCCCTCCCTCTCCGCCTTATAGACAGTGACGAGGCCATGACAGGCAGTTCCAGCTCATAACAGCAAAAACTAAAGTACAGGGACTGCTCATTCCTGCCAAAGAAAATCAGGGATTGGAACAAGCTTCCAGTTGAGGCGACGACACTTAACACATTTGCGTCTATTGCCTCCTGCCTTTCAACCCCCAGTTCCTAATGCCCTCGCTGAGTAACCCTTGCAACTATTGGAATATCCTCTTCATACCAGGCACAGAAACATTGCAAATCCCTATACATACATAGGAGCCAGAATGGTCAATACATTGATCGTGGGCCCTTAATATATAGAGGAAGATTTGAATTCATTTCAGTCAAAATTCACTTCTAGTTAGATAGAAGAAAGAAGAAGATGTCTCGATAAAAAAAAGTCGTGACAGCTAATATAGTGATATTGATTTGATCTAGAGATTTGCATTGAAAATTCTGTAAAAATTGAAAATCGCCTGAACTCGAAGTTCGGTGTGTTTTTCAACAAACTAGTTTACCGGTTCATAATTTTGTTTAAAATTAATACAAAAATAAAACACCGAAACTAAACGGTACTACTTTTACCACTCTCCAACAATTAGAAATTTAAAACATACTGACCGGAAGCAAAGATGTAAACAAACCCAAGGCATGTTTTGTTATTCACGTGGCTTTTATTAGATGTATTGCCATTAACTTTCTTAGTTATCCATTTGATATTGAAAAGTTGCTATATCTAGTCAATAACATCCTTTACTTGTTTGAAGATGGATTCCATTGAAAATGATCCCCGCTTTGCACATATTGCAACGGACCCACGTTTTAGACCAATGCCAAAGTCTAAGCGAAAAGTAAAAATTGATTCACGTTTTCAGTCTCTATTCACAAATACACATTTCAGTCACAGAACTGATATAGATAAACGAGGTAGACCTATTCTAGATTCCTCAAAGAAAAACAAACATGTGATGGAAAAGTTCTATGAATTATCAGATAATTCTGATAGTGAAAAAGATGAGGCGGATAATGATGAAGCATCAAAAGAGCCAGCTCCGAAAAAGTTGAAAAAAGATACAAGAGGCAGAGGTAAGCCAGATTAGCTCTTACCTTGTATTATAAGCCTTAATTATTATTGGATGTTGTTACCTTATTTTATTAATTACCTTTAACTCCATTACTGGGCCTGGGCTAAAATACAGGTAATCTACCACTTGAGCGTCGGCCTAGAAAAAATCCAAAAATCGAAATGTCTTGTGAAATTGTGACATGATAGAAATGAATAGTTTATGGGTACTTCATTTTTCAACCAATCAAAGTCATCAATTTAAAAAATGCATTTGTCTTTTTTTCCAGAGTTTATCTTGGGGTAGTAGTAAGAATCAGTTTCTAGTTCCTTTTTTACAATTTGATTTGAACCTTCTAAGTTTAAATTTTAATAAAAACAAATGGAAATGTCAATTTTAAATATATCATACTACTGTATCAATGGTTAGATTTAGTATATAATGCCAATAATGCTCATTAAAGAACTGGAAAGTTATCATAAACATCATTCAGGTCCAACTGTTGGTCCTGTCACCTGAAGTCCAGTGTTGGGATTCCCCAAAGTGACATCACTGCGCTTAGGGTGAGACAACCCTTGCAAAACTCGTGCCACTACCTACACATTTAATAACCTATTACTGTATTAAGTATGAGATGCCTTTTTACTTTGTCCTGACAAAGGCTGTGTCTTTTAACACACAAATAATGATGTTACGTACAGGCCCTACAAGAAACCTGTGAAGTCTTAAAGTGTTTAAGTTAAGCATAAGCTAGTCGCATGGGCCCATTGGTGGTTAGTTAGTCATTACCGATAACTAGTTTTTCAAGGTTCTCTTTAAATTTAAGTTAAAGGTGGGTGTCAGGCAGCATATTATAAGTATATCTGTTTTAACTCTAAGCACAATGTTGTTCAATCTGTCCCGATGTGGAAATTTTTTTACCAAACTGCTTGTAATTTCTAATAGACCTATTTATTTATTCATTTTAAAAAATTATACTTTGAAAATTAATGAAATATCATTGGCCTATTTTGAATTTTTGCATTCCCTTGTGTTTACTTCTTCTGTAATGAAACTTATTACTTTAAAAAATTAAAATGTGACATACAAACCAGTGGGTGACAGTGTCATTTCTTTCAGCTTTGTGTTACACCAAAATTTATTAAATCATTCTTTATGGTAGAGAGCTGGTTTTTGAACTATTTTGAATCCTACCACTGCATAGGCCCATTATGAATTATTTTAAAAGATGCAATAACTAATTACTAACTTTCATAATAATTTGAAGAATGTAGCACGTTTAGGCCTAATTTTAAAATTCTTAAAGTAAAATTGCAAAGCAATATTAATTAAAATGTATAGACCATCCCTGTATAATCCCATGCCTTGTGGATTTCGTCCTGCAAAGTCCACACCATTGTCAAATTGTAACGGACGGATGCCAGCAGACCCTCCCTTTATGTATGAAAACACTTAGTGTGTAATTCTGAAACATAAATGCAGATTCTGAGAATATAGGTCTAGTGATCATGCAATAAAAAATATTAGTAATCATGGTTACTATTAGTAACCATGTAGATAGGGATAGGCCTGTAACTGTAAACCAGAATGAAATTAAAAAGTTGAATTACGGTATTCATGTTTACCTTTATGGTTTGTCTTATTACTTTTCAATACTCTGTTTAATGAAGTGTTATCAAAAAGAATGTTTTTGCAATATTTATTTTAAAACACATTTTTTAGTAATAAAATTGTGGGTTTATGTTGTAATGCTTAAATTGATTATTATTTTTTTCTTCCTCAGTTGTTTCACCTAAAAAGGATGCAAAAACAGAAAGTGATGATAAACCAGAAGAAAGTGAGAGCGCAACGAGTAGTGAATCTGAAGATGATGATACAGAACTCCCTGAGTTCACCCAAGAATTTGCCCTTGAAGAGACTGAGATAGACCATAAATGGAATGAACTTCACACAGATGCCCCAGCAATATCAGAGTCAACTCGCAGACTAGCAGTGTGCAATATGGACTGGGACTATGTTAAGGCACAGGATTTATTTATTTTATTCAAGTCGTTCGTTCCTGAAGGGGGGCAGGTGAAAAGTGTGACAATCTATCCATCTGAATTTGGAAAAGAGAGGATGTCGGAAGAGGCTTTGCTGGGGCCTCGAGAGATTAGGGAGGGAGTTAAAGAAGAGGATGTTAGAGATGATGAGGTGAAAGGGAGGAAAAAAAACAAGAAACAAGTCAAGGATCAGAAGAAAATTAAGCAAACTGAAAAGGAAAGAGAAGCAGCTCAGACAGAAAAACTTCGAGAATATCAGCTCAACCGTTTAAGGTATTACTTTGCAGTTGTGGACTGTGATTCTGTGGGTACAGCTGACATGATCTACAGTGAATGTGATGGGAGGGAGTATCAGCTTAGTTCTGTCAGGCTTGACCTCAGGTTTATCCCTGATGACATGACTTTCGACGACGAGCCTAAAGAAAGCTTTTCAGAAGAGCAGAGTATTGTGGGATATCAACCGAGTCAGTTCAATTCCACCGCTCTGTCACAAGCAAAGGTGGAGGTGACATGGGATGAAACAGAATTTGACAGACTTGCTCGGCGTATCGGCTCACTGCAGCCCAAGGAGCTGGAGAGTATCGTTGAGGAAAACAAATTTGCCGAGATTATTGCTCCACCTGAAAGTGATTCTGAAGATGAACAAGATGGCAGGCCAGCTTGGCTTCAAAATATCTTAAGTGATGAGAAAAAAGCATTTACAGAAGAAGAAAAGATTCAGCTGTATAGGAAAGTGTTGATGGACCAACTGGTGGAGGATCAGGATGAGAAAAAAGCAGAGGAAGGGGAAGTCGACCAGGAAGTTGAGTGGCAGGTGGGATTAAAAACAAGTGTTGAGAAGAAACTGAAGAAAAAGGAACTACAGGGTGAAAACACCATTGTCAGTGATTTCTTAGAGAAGAAGAAAGCAAAGAAGAAAAAGAAGAGAGTAGAGAAAATGAAAAAACTAGAAGTCAAAGAAGATGGGGACAGTGAAGCATTTAGTGATGATGAGATTCCAGGTGGTATTGAATCCTTCAAAGATATGTTTCAAGAAGAACCTGATCTTAATATACACGCTAAAGGCAAAAAGAAAAAACAGAAGTTGAATAAAAGAAAAGGTGATAAGGATGATGATAGTGTTGATGAGAAACTGAAAGCAGAGCTTGAGCTCATTGTTATGGACGAGGAGGGCGACAAAAAGATTTCCAAGCCCGAAGTTGTAAAAGAAAAATCAAAGAAGAAAAAGAAGAAGTTGGCCAAGATGAAAAAATCAGCTGAAGAAGATTATAACTTGGACCTCAATGACCCCAGGTTCAGTGCCCTGTACAATTCACACTTGTTCCACATTGACCCCACCGCACCACAGTTCAAAAAGACCAAAAATATGCTGAAACTGGTGGATGAGCAGATCAAAAGAAAAAAAGATGCACAACCTAAGACCACAAACGCTGCTGTAAAAAATAAGTCTCAGGCATTAGTAGAAAGATTGAAATCTAAAATTAAAAAGTGAATACCGGTTGTTCTTTAGGAATTTTTAATGAGATTTTCATTACATTAACTTAACTCATGTGTACAGAATACTGGGATTTAATATTTTTTTTCCTGAAATTTCAATGATTTTAAATAAGCTTATTACCTGATATGCAAGGGCTTGTCAGAGGCCAGGCAAATTCTGAACATTTTATTATTTTTATGCACATTGACTTTTTTATACTGTTGAGTAATTGTCTTTGCATCGCAGGTGTATTTGATGATTTGAATGAGCCAATTTTTCTCTGGGCACCTGTTATTTGTTTATGACTATGTTGATTGTGATTATGTTTCTGAGAACATGGTATTATAACTACATAAAACTTTAATAAAACACCTATGTTTGAATGAATGTCATAATTATTTCATAATTTAATGTTCAAGCTCTTATGAAACTTGTCCTCATTTTCTTCACACAACAAATATGTCACCTCTGAATGAATACATCATTTAAATATTTTTCGGGATACATTGTTCTTGTTTTTAAGTTCCTATTTAGAGCAGTTGATAGATATGCCTCAATTAATACAAAGAAATGTATTGTAAATATTGTCCCTGAATGTTAAATCTATCTCTTAATGGCTAGAGTGTTTAAACAGGACAGGTTTTTTAAAAATTAACCATCACTATTATTTCTGATATATTGCAATACAAATATATTTCACTTATTGTCTTTATCCAACAATGTTGAATCATAAGGCCTTAAAAGGCAGCAGAGTTTAAATTCAATTTCTTTACTTTATATAGATAGCTCTCTCTTTTTCTTTCTTTTTTTTTCTAGTTCTTCCTCAAAAGGGTGGGAGGTGCATTAGAGATCTATGTGCTCAGGTAGGGCTAAAAGGATGGGAAAAGCTACAGTAAAATGTGTTAAAACATTTTGTTGCAGGTGTCCTGTTTTCTTTCCAGCGAATGCAGCTCTTTGGTTCAGCCAAATGAAATACTTTAGTCACAGATTACCTACAGAGCCATGCACAGTGGGCTTAAAGTTTTCACTTTGCTAACTATACCCTAAATTGCTATATCTAGAAAACACAACAGAATGCTGAGAAAATAAAACATTGCAGTGATTATTTTTTTTTTAAAATAGGGCTATAAATATAAAAGATATGGAATTACTGTTTTTAGTCGACCTTAGGTGAACCTATTAGAATTAGAGATATGGGCTAATTTTGGTCTTTCAAATTTCAGGATATTTATTGCAGAATTTGTGTATAATAATAATATGCAAATACTTACTCTGGGGGGCTCACAACCCCCCCCCCCTTATGTACCTGTACACAAAAATCTTAAAAATCAATACTTAAGTAATATAAGGATGGCCCTTAAAGAATCATAAATATCCAGGGTACAGATAAGTAACAGAGCATGTGATGACAGTAATGGTGTGGAATGTTAATTCAAAACATGGGATAAAGTCAATTATATGATTCTCTAGATTTAAAAAAGCATACAATTTTATTATAGTGGCTGATTTTTTAAAATATTCTAATTTAGCGGGTATTAATAATGTTCAAAGTTTTCATTACCGTTATCTTGATTAAAAAATAAAATATTTCATGGGCAACAAAATTGTTGGCAGATTATAAACCAGCAGACTGATATCTGACCTAGAGCTTTGTAATAGTTTTGTTTAAATTCATGATATAGTCATGTAACTGCTATTATAGTAGTTAAGTTATATTATTATTTAGTGTGGCAAACTTTTGTGTGGGGTCAATATGGTGAGGTGAATTCAGACTCCCACATCAATTTAGACTTGGTGCAACAAACATTAATTACCCCTGCCAGTATCCTAAATGAATTATTGATTATTTTTAACCAATGACTTTAATTTCTTTGAATGTGTACACATTTTTTTCTTGGTGGCAAGCCCATCTGACTGTGACATAACCCACACCTTGTTTTTTCCCCTGAAACTCAGACAAGGAATATGTCACTTGCCAGGGCTTTTATTGAAACCACATAGTTCTTGTACAAATTTGAATTTATTTCTGAAGTCTCTTGAATTGTATAATTTCTGTAAATAATTTAATAAATATGAATTCTGTACCATACTGTAATAGAAATATGTAATAATTAAACAATAGTAATAAACCATTAATAAATACCTGTAAATTTCATTAAATTATTTTGGTGCAGTTAAAAAATAATAATCTCACCAGTTTGATAAATAGCATAATTAGATTCTTTACTAGCATGAGTAGCACTGTGTTACATTGTAGCAATAAAATATACAATGTGAGATATCAACTAATATACAGTAGCACTGTTGCTTAGTTTAGTGTATGGTCAAGGAAAAATTATACAAGTCTCATGAAATTTTCTAAAGCCTTTAATCTTTATTTAATGAAAAAACTTGATTAAATAAATTGATCCATATCTGTCAGTCTGAAATTAAATTAAAAATGCCAGTAGCCAGTACATGGATAAACAAAATTGGATCTCATAATGATTAATAAATAAAACTGTTTACCCTCGTACAACATTGTCAAGGATACATATTCACATAAGTACCAGTACCATACTAGAATCACATCATACACAGAGACAAGCTTATCAATATCATATAAACCGGTATATCAGCGTTTCCAAAATATTTACTCCACGGGAATACATTCAAGTATTTTAAGTTGAGACCAGTGCTACACATTATTTAAATGGTTAAGTCATGGTGACTTATCTTAAAATGTTAACCAATGAAGGTAACACAGCTGTCATTGTAATTTCAGTAGACGTAGAATGATCTGTTTACACTATTTACAGGGGAAACCACTTGGATGGGTGTTGGATTTCTATTGTGTTTCTACATCTTAAGTCATAACCGCAGCCTTATGACTGCATTGTTGATGTTGGGAGCGTTTGAAAGAAAAAGGTTGTTTATTATTTACCCTGCATCATTAACGTACAGTATCTAAAGAAATAAACATTTATGATATATGGTAATTTTAAATGTTAATTACCGGTAGTATTAGTTGTTAAAAATGTTTTTGCATTTAAAAAAAAAATTAAAAGTAATGCCATCAACTGCAATGCAGCTTTTATTATTATAGAGCACTGTAGGTAAACAAAACAGCTTGTTTTTGGCCCTTTTCAGCTAAGTCCTCTTGAGCTACATAACCCACAAAATCAGTGAATCCCATAATTTGAATTTAAAATGAATGTTCAGGCACTAGAATTTCTCACCTCTTTTTTTTTGTTTTTCCAGTTCAATCTTTACTTTAACTTCAACATTTCTCACAATGCTATCAACATCTTATCTTTTTATAAGTCAAACAATTATAATCTTCAGACCTCAAGGTCAATCCACCAGATCACATCAAGATTCTGTGAAATAGGTTTACATAAACAACCAACAATAACTATGGTAGCTAAGCCTTAAAAGTAACAGCCCGCTTAACAACAAAAATAGAATTGGGTCTACATACCTGCTTTACTTCTCCAATATAGCACTGGTAGTGCTAATAGATATCTTTCCAGGTTTTCTAATAAATTTACCATCTCTTTGCACAGCTATGAGCAGAGGTGGTTGGGAATGACTTATAACCTTTGTTTTATACTTTGGCACAATATACTGTTCACAGACGACCTGAGCACCCTGTGGCCTCAGGCAGAAAAACTCTGATTTTTGGATGATATACCCTGTACTGATTAAAACTCAATCATTCGGCAACAAATGGAAACTTTTGAAGGTTCACTTGACCAAGAGAAGAAAAAGGTTTTGTAGGCCCTCAAAAAATTAAGTTTAGGTTAAATTTTTTTTTTATTTATTAAATGCGACAAATATTATTTGATTAAGTCATCTTATAAATGTTGGTACTATACATGATAGGGATTGATGTAAAGTTTCCTGATGCAAGTGAAATCTTTCAAAATGTATTTAATTAGAAGTATTATTACTGGTACCTGTACTAGATAATTTATTTTCCATTTGTGCAAGTTTTGGTTTCATTTGAAGTCAAAGAAATTTTAGATTTGCTCAAAATAAATTAAATATATGTTAAGTTTTATACAGACAAGTTAACTGTACTGTAAAATATAAAAAAAAAACAACTTTAATTACCATGAAATATGTAAGGAAAAAGTATGAAAGTACCGGTACTGTACTGTACCATACAGAAAACAAAACATTGAAATATAATAAAACGGTAAAGAAAGCCTATGCTATATTACATGCCTTATATAAACAACGAGAAATGTGGATTGAGACTCTTTGAACTTTTTCCACATCTCTGTGAATGAGTATTAGAGAATATCATACCTCTACCTCGCTGGCTAGGTAAGATAGAACAACAAAAATTGTATCCAACAACAAACATATTTATATTTTATATAACTAACCTGAACAACAAAAATGAAATATTAGTTAAAAATAAAATTAGCAAAGAATATGAAATGATTCAACAAACAATAGAGATCAAATTTAAAAATTATAAACAACACTTAATATTTTTGACAATATTTTGGGCTGTTTTTATGAGTGATATACTTATATATACCGGTAGATATAATCACAATTATATATTATTTTAATTTATTATAAAATAGATTTACAATTAAGCTATATTCATATTACTAATGGTACTAATTAGTTTGTGTCTTTCTTTTATTAATTACAACTATTTCCACATCTCCAATAATTTATTATCAAGAATTACCACAGAACTGTGGTGTTGAAAGGGTTTCATGTAAATAAAAAAGCAGATTAAAATCATTGCTTAAACTAAAATACCTAGGGTGAAGATGATTTGCTTCCATGAGACTGGGAGTCACCCTTTAAAAAGTTTAACATTGTGTAAAAAAATAATATCCTTCAAAAAAAAAAAGAACACTAATATTATAAATATATTGTTTCAGTAACCTACAATGAAAGATTTTTAAAATTAGGTAATTTGATTGGTGATTCTTTACAATGTTTTCTACAAAGCTCATAATAACCAAAGACAATATTTATTTTTAGTGAAAAACCTTTTATAAACAAAAGAAAAAGGTTTTATGTACACAGTACAAATTTACATTGGGATTGATTTCGAGTGAAAACCTACAGCTTTCTGTAATTTAAGTAATTTAAAAATGATCATTGAACTATATCTCATTGCAGATTAGTAGACAGAAGTGGATTGTAAAGAAAGTAAAGGAACAGTACAAATCATATATAATTTATATAATTTGATCTTATCCTGTCATGTACACATTATTTTGTCATCTGCAATATGAAACTTCCTTTTATTTGTCCAATAAACTTGATCTAGAGTTCAAAAGTGTAAACTTCACATTGCCTTACAAATGTACTCTGACTCCAAAGTCAAAGTTGACATAACTACAAAATTTACTTTGTGCTGATCAACATGTCATATATTGATGATATATTTATGAACTAGTCTTTAAAACACAGGCTAACTATTTTATTTTCTATAGAGCTGAGACGAGAACTTTAATCACCAGTAACAATGGATATGCCTTTAAAATCCTATTGTTTTTCTTTAAAACAGTGTTTTCTGCAAGTACAAGAGGATTAAACTGAAAGGGAGACCTCCCCCCCCCTCCCCTCTCCAATATTTAATTGTTTTTCCTGCTGAGTTACATTTAAATGTCAGTTTTCAAAGCAGACTTTTACAGACCCAGACTTTTACAGACCCTCAGCTGATGTTTGAGCTAGAGGTAAAAAGAAGTTATTTGTTTTCTGTTTACCTATTGTAATTAGTTTACCTTCAATCTTTATTTTTATGCAAACTTAATTGAATCACTGAAAGTTTGTAATGGTATTTAGGGGTAAATGGTAAATTTTGTTAATGCTATTGATACTCTCTTTCCGTGAATTTCTTTTAATTAATAGTATATGATATGCTACACTTGAAGTTTTATTTTTCAATTCTCCTTTCATTTTGTTTTACTGCCATATTGATTTTTTCCAATTACTGTAATAAGTTGTTTTAACCTATTATATACCCAGGCTGTCTGGCAATGGTTTTACAATGGTTTTAAAACTATTGATCATATTCTCTGAGCCCTATTCATTTGTTGTAACGAGAATGATTTCTTGCTCACTCTACAATTGGACTCAGTTTTAGTTCAACTGTATGAGATCGTTATCATCTTCACCATCATCACTATCATCACTATCATCAATTTCATCAGGGAGCAAGCCTTCATTTACATAGGAGCTGTTACCATTCATATTGGTGTTTAATTTTCTAGGCTTGTCTACTTCACTTTCTTTCACATGTCTGGGAAGCTGGTCTTTGGCATCACCAGTGTAGCCTGCGGCGAGTTGTCTGAGCACCAATTTTTTGTAAACACCATGTGTGGCCAGAAGCTCATTGTGTGTCCCCATCTCTGCTATTTGACCTTTGTCTATCACAACCACCTAAAAAACACAAATTAAAATATAAAAATAGAAACAGTACTGTAGTGAATCTAGTCAGAAAAATATTTGAGAATATGCATCCCAATCACCAACGTTTAGAGAAGAAAAAAGGAATAGATAGGCTTGGCTTTGTACAATAAATGCCCAAGGTGGCCATCTCTTTTCACTTATTCCTTGATCTGACCCTGTTTATAGTATTTCAAGCACATATTCTGTTCAGAAATTACAATTATGTCAAGATGAAGTCTGGTAGTCAAAGATATAAGTTTTTTTAATGAGCTAGAATGTCAGAATATTGTGATGAGTTGAACTTGGTAATGATTTTAGTTAAAAGATGAAAGGCAATTGTCACTTACCGTATCAGTATTTTTACAAAGCTGTTTTTTTTTTTAAAATAAATTAATTTATGTAACTGTTTTTTTTAATTTTAACATCATGTTTATTTTTGCAAATTTTTATGTGAAGTGCGGTGAGCCCATCCCTGGGCTGGGGTACTGCACTATATAAGACCACTGTAATAATAATAATAGTATTTCTAACTGTGGAGAGCATGTGTGATATGACAATGACACTTACCTTATCAATATTTCTAACCGTGGAAAGTCTGTGTGCTATGACAATGAAACTTACAATATCAGTATTTCTAACTGTGGTAATTCTGTGTGCTATGACACTTACCTTATCAGCATTTCTAACTGTTGAAAGTCTATGTGCTATCACAATAACAGTTCGACCCATCATAGCCCTGTCCACAGCTTCCTGTACCAAATGTTCACTCTCTGCATCCAAAGCACTGGTCGCCTGTTCAAGGTAAGGTTAAGGTCATTCATCATAATCAATTTATATCAAGTTAAAAATCATACATTTGACAATTAATGTTCACAATTTTTTATGAATGGGTTTTTTTTTGTGTTGTTTTTTTTGTGCATCCTTTTATATGGTATGTCTCCTAAAAATATGAATTCAAAAAAACTTCTCAATTTAACAACTTATTCATAATTTTTATGCATTATCTTATCTAATACTGTACAGGATGAAATCAGCATCTGGATATTAGGGTTATAAACTGGATGTTCTTCTTCAAATACAATTGAGGTAAAACTTTGTAAAAAAAAAACAAACAAAAACGGATCTTCAAAGAGAGACTTTGTGCTAAGACATGAAGGGAAATTTTTCCAAGGCCAACTTGGCTGTCATTTATATAAGTGAGTCAAGTATTTATGAAAGGTATCTGGGTACCAAAAATGTTTCTGTCAGGTCTGTTTATTATTTATGACATGAAAAAAAAACAACTCTATCATGATAGGAGCGCTAAGCCAGACTTACCTCATCCAGTAATAGAAGAGTGGGGTCCATGATGAGGGCCCTGGCAATGGCAATCCTCTGCTTCTGACCTCCCGACAACCTCACACCTCGCTCACCCACCAGAGTGTCATAGCCCATTTCAAACTCAGACACAAACTCATGGGCATTTGCTTGTTTGGCTGCCTCAATCACCTAACAAGACAAAAGAACTCTTTAAAAGCATTTATGAAATCAAGATGCAGTTTTACATCGAATTATTTTCAGCCTGAGTCACAGACGTCAATCTTGAACACCTCTTTACTGGTTAAACAAGCAAGAAGACCAGTAATATATGAATTATTTTTTTTATTGAAGCCATTTCTTTTATTGTTGAAAAAATTCTTCAAAACGTAAAAAATTTGATACAATGTGAATTGAGTGTTTAAGACCAAAATGCTACTGCACAAATCAAAGCATGAACCACCCATATGGTAACTTTACTTAGAAATTAATTTATACCGTAATGACTATATAACTACATTTTAAAAAGCAGGGCTAGGTGGGAACCATTTTCAAATATTTAAAAATCATTTTTATAGTTTTATAGTGCTATGTGTGGACAGAAAAATTCTGAGAAACAATGTATAGATACTATTATTTCTTTCATCTAATTAATTTAAAAATTTTATAAATTATATATTTTTTTTAAATGATCCCAATAAATACAATTATTGGTATTTAAATATTAAAATGCATTTTACAATGAACTGTTTCAAAATACTAACATGTTCATTACCTCTTCATCAGTGGCTTCACGGCCATAGGCAATATTATCTTTAATGGAACAGGCAAATAATGTTGGTTCCTGACTGACCATGGCAATCTTCTGTCTGAACCATGTGAGGTCCAGCAGTTTTAAGTCACAACCATCTGGAGCAGAGAATTGGTTTGATAAAATCTTATTATTTTAATCATTTAACAGGAGAGCAATCCTTCTTTCATTAAACTTATATAAACTCAAATTTAAAATGTCCTTTGCACATACCAGAACACATCAAAGCATGTTTTAATAAAACTTTTAAAACCACCATAGATGGTATATAGAGTAATACTTATTAAATTGTGTACACATTTTTGAAACCTAAATATTATTTATAATGAAGAAAGCCTTTAACATCATACAGTTTTATATAAGCAAAACGAATTTTGTAGAAAATTACACCAACCCATTGCAATGGTTCCCTCGTTGGGGTCGTAAAATCTCTCAATGAGGTTGACAATCGTAGATTTGCCCCCACCAGAAGGTCCAACCAAAGCCACCATTTGACCTCGCTCTACCCTGAATGACACGCCCTGGAAAATTTGGTAGAATGTTTAAACAACTATAGAAAAATACTTAACATCTAGAAAGCAGATAACATTATTAAAAACTTTGTTTAGAATACTAATTCCTTAATATTTGTATGATTTTACTATTTTATTATTATCAATAAAACTGGGTATATTATTTTTTTTCATTACCGATATATATAATTTTAAAATGATAATGAGATTAAAAATATGAAAAATTTTGAAGTAAGAAAACAATTTGTGACAGCTTGGATCAAAATACAATATATATAGATGCATATATANTATATATATATATATATATATTAATATATGAGAACTAGCCTATAATCATATTAAAAAAAATAATAATCCCAGGCCTTGTGGATTTGGTCCTGCGAAGTCTACACCATCATCACATTTTTACGGATAGATGCCAGAAAATAAATATATTTATATATAGACTAATATATATACCGTATAAATATTTATAAAATTATTAATTTTGCGCTGTTATTCAAAGACTTTGAAAATCACTGGGCTTGTTTGCTCAGCCAGAATTATCAGAGAAATTTGGGTCTACTTTTAATAAATGTCATTAAAGATGGGGTTGAAAAATTCACTTAAAGCTCAGTATGAAAATAAGCAGTGGAATAATTTGTAAATTTTTTGTGAATATTATTACTACCCGTACAATTTCACTTTGATGAATTTTATACAGATATTAATTTTCCAAGGCTTTTTTTTATATAATTATAATCATTTACAATTTTTACATTTACGACAACAGTATCCAGTTGCCAGAAGGATTTGTGAGCCTCTTTAAATATTTCAGTGGCCCGCAGGCTGTAGATTGTCCATAACATTTTGTGTTCTTTTCATATCAAAATTCAGGGGTTTAATTTGCTTATATTTTTAAACTGTGAAACTGTAGATGTATCATGAGCAACCTTCTTAAGAAGTTTATGTTTTGAGCACTAAATACTTGACTTACCACCAAGATTATTAAGAGAGAACATTTTAGAATGGTGATGGCACAATAAATTTTCAGGAGGCAATAATTTGGTCAGAATTTAAATTCAGTTTGTCAGCTAATAATTTGTCAACAAGGCAGTTGGAATAAAAAGACATTTTTTAAGTATGTTATTAGATTTTTCATATTGTTATACCCTGTACTGTTATTGGACAATTTTAGAATTCAAATTAAAATAGGCAAGAACAAAATAAAAAATTGCATAGAATTGAAAAATATTTATTTTTTAAACAAATTGTAATTTTAAAAAATTGCTATTTATCTGAAAAATCTTACCTTCAATACTTCTGTCTCCGGCCTTGATGGATATTTGAATTTAACATCCTTGAACTCGATTTCTAAGTCAAAGAAAAAAGTTTAGAATAGCTGGTTGAGAATTCTATGCAAATATCTTTGAACATTGAAATTTGTGATTAAAAGTTTGTAATGATCTTCAAATTTTAAATAGTTAATTTATTATATGATGATTACTTCTGGGTTCTCGCAAATACTTATTTCTTGTTAAATGGAGAAAAAAATGATACTTTGTGAGATCATAAATGAGCCGCTATTTTAGACTATAGCTTTTCTATTTGTCAGTCAAACAATAGCTGATTAATATTTAAAAAAACAGAAATGCTTTCTTCCTTGATTTTGAACTTCTGTGCAATTATCACTGATTGTTGAGTGTCAGAGTTTTTCAGTGAAAACTAATAGAAATTTTCTATTCAGGATTATATCTCATTGTTTAAGACGTTGCCTTCAAATAATTAAATTTTAAAATCATAAAATAATATCTTTAACAAGAAATTAGGATGTGACAGTGTAAATTTTCTAACATTTCATTTGAAAAAAATCTTGAATACATTTATCAATTTAATAAACAGTGTTTATTTCCTCACCTCCAGTCAAATGTGGCAGCACCAAGGGGTTTAGTGGCACAAAGACATCAGGCTTTCTATCTAACAGTGTGAAGATCCTTGCAGAGGCACCAACAGCCTAGAAATAACATTTTATTTAAATTACAGATTTTAAAAGGTGTTTTTTTCTCTTTTTTCTCTTTTCTCTTTTAATTTTAAATAGGAACACTAGAGTCTATTGTAATAGACATATAGAATATAACAAGGTTACCATTCGAAAATTATCATTAAAGTTAAATACCAAATAATGAAATTTAGTTTGGGCTCTGTAGTCTGATGTATAATTTAAGCAGTTGCAATCCTGGAGGAATGGGGGCAGCCAACCCAACTACACATTGGTGGGGAAAGCTAATTTGTTAAAAATAATATATATTAAAAATAAATTTTAGTTGAAATTACTTCTGGAAAAAAAAATTATATTTTGCAATATTTTTTTCCCTTTTCTTTGAAATCCCTACTTAAAACAGAGTGAATGTTTGAAAAATTTCATAGAAAACTTAATAGCAATGCAGAATGTGTAACATAAAAATGGAGAAAATAAATCTAATTTAAGACCCTTTCATAACAAATCGAAGTGAAATACAAGAGCAGTGTGCGACCAGAATATGTTGCCATCAGAGTAGGGTGTCACCATAGAAAGCAGACACAGGCGAGGCCATGGGGAGTGTCTGGAGCAGGTGACACCGATGAGTTTTCAATACTTCCCACTTATAATTATCTCAGCATTCTGCCTTATGCAATTCATTGCAAAAAAAAAAATAATTGAAATGTCCAATGTATGTTGGGTTTGTTATTTGTAAATTGAACATTCTGAGCTGAAGCTGAGATGTTACTACATAGAAATGAACAGAAATGTACTGTTGTTGCAGCAATGCCATACTGAATTTTTTAAATTCATGTGTGTGCGATATCTTCAATTCTCTGAGGTTGTCTTAGGCAGCATTTAGTCAAGGTATGCAACTGTTTACACCAGTTTTAAAAATTGGCAAACTTTTGCAACTGTGCAAGTCTAAATTTGTAAGTGTAGCTAAAATTGCCACTTATATTATGCCTACTACAAGAGAGATTGGTGATTTAATGAATATGGTGTTAAATGCAAAGATCTATAAAGATAATTTTAAAAATAAAGGGACAATGAAAATTTTACTTTTTTTAAAAAGTAAAATAATTATTCAAATGTATAAATACATCTAGTTTTATAAATAGGTTATCATAAGCAGGTGATGAGGTGGGTTTTTTTTTTAAGTTGACTACCTCTTTCACAAAAAAGATTACAAACACTATTTTTTGCTGCCAAATGCCAAGTTGAAAAATAGTTACAAAGTTTAGCTTATAATAAATTCAAATTTTAAATAAATAAATAAATAATTTTGAACAATGAAAATAATCTATTTAACCATAAAAAGTGAAGATGTAATTGCTAGAACAAATTAAAAGCTTTTATTTTTCAACCACTCTTTTCTATAAATTTAGGAGCTGGATTATTGGCCAACTGCAAAGTTTTATTTTGGGCGGCAACAATCTTGACCAGCCTTAGTGGCACTAACTTTTGGATCCATTATCCTCCCTCCTGAGAAGAAACATCTATTTCTGCTTGACGTACGTTCTCTATACACTTTTTCTTTCTCGAGCCCCATCAATACCTATCAATACCCTCCTCTAAATGGCCGACTTGGTATTCACCCTCAATTCTCTTGAGTTTAGTGGCCAATTCTTCAACCAAATCATGGATGTTGCAATGGGGGACTAAAATGGGATTCAACTACACATGTTTGCTCATGGGACAGTTCAAACACATGCTGGAGAGAGAATACACAGGATGCCTCACTCAATTTTACAAATGGTACATTGATGATTGTATTGGGGTCACCACTATGGAGAGGAGCTAATGTGACCTATTCATCAACTTTGTAGGGTCTTTTTTTATCCCTCCATTAAATACACATCACAGGTCTCTTAGATCTAGATTAACTTTTTTTGGACATTTACGGTCACCCTTCACAAAGACAGCCAACTTACTTCTGATTACTTAACAACCACAGCTATTTACTCTACTCTTCTTCCCACCCTAAATCCTGTAAGGACGCTATTTCCCCTTCTCCCATTTCTTCATCTTCATTGACTTTGCCAGTCTAAGGATGACGTTTGGGACAAAGCCCTTGAGATGATTGACTATTTCTGTTGCAGGTCCTACCCGGAAACAGTACTTTCACCGGTCTTTCAATTGGTTAAAAATATCACTTCAGGTCTAGTCCAAGTGACAATGGTGACAGACCCAAATTTATTCTTACATATCCTCCCCACAATCTTTTAGCCAAAAACTAACAGATCTTCTTTAAAAATTGTGCCATTATACCTACTAATGGTCTATTACTATTACATTCCTTTTACTGTCCTCTCAAAAACAACATTCATGTACGTGTTTATTTGTTTTTTGTAATTTTTAAGTATTTTTGTTACTCTTTATTTGTACTGTATGCGGAAGAAGGCTTCTTTTGATGACACAATCATTTATTTGTGACGTACTTTTAAAAAAAAAATTTCTTAAAAGTTTTTCACCAAAGCAATAAGTTTGGAAAGCACTGGCATAGAGCCTATGCTTCCTTCCTCCTTTGCATGCCCTGCCACAAAGTCTTGAAGATTCAAGGAATATATTTATAAGCTCGGGTAATCTGGGGAAATTCGTTTATTAAATCTTGGGAATTTTAATGAATCTGAGTGCCAGCACTAGAGTATTTTCGTTAGTTTCCGATTATGGTACACAAGTCAATAAAATAATATTAGCCTTTCGTCTTCTTGCAATATTGAAGTAAATAACCCTCATGAAATGCATGTAGCGATTTTTTATTTAATACAATTGGATTATTATTATTGTTTTTGTAACCTCTTAATCTTAATACACTGATGTCGTATGACTTTTTTAAGTTGCTCTATCCGTTTCTTAGTCTTAGTAAGAGTCTAACTCTTAGTCTTAAATAGTCTTAGTCTCTTAGTGATGGATCATAGAGTGCGTGTGCGGGGTATGGTCAAATCTGACATTTGTTCTGCGGCTTTTGCTGTGAATTCATATTTAACTTCACACAAAAGAATACATACTGGAGAGAAACCCTTCAAATGCGAAATTTGTTCAGCTTCATTTTCTAGTAGACCTCATTTAACCGTACACAAAAGACAACATACCGGAGAGAAACCTTACAAATGTGACCTGTGTTCTGCTGCATTAGCTAGTTTTTCCGAAATGACTAGACATATAAGACAACATTTAGGAGACAAAACACTATGAATGAGATGTTGGTTCTGCTGATTTTTCTTATTTGTAACTTGTACCAGTAGTAATAATTTGACACCGGACCAAAAGAAAACATACATAATATGTTCGAAAAGTAAAATGAATTGTGATTATATTGCTTTATCTTTGAAACACCCTAGCCAATATATATATATTATATATATATACACCGGTATATATATATAAATTAACTTTTTTTTTTAAATAAGAGGGTACTCATGCTCTAACTTTGAATAGGGGAAGGGTAAATTAAAAATGCAAGGATGCATTTTGGTGCATACCGGTACTGGAATTTAGTTTTTCATTCTATAATTAATTGGAGATGCTAGTGGAAATTTAGGTTTCCTGACCTGAAGCTGATTATACCATCCTTATTTTTAATCATGACCAAATAGTAATGCTGTTTAGTGTTTTATTATTTTGATTGAAACTTTTTTATTTCTTTAAAATACTTTATTAATAAATTTGTTAAACGGTTCTCAGAAATTACCAGAAAATGGTCTCAGGGGGAGCAGGTGCTACACCTGCTCTTCCACTGGCTACGCTACAGGAGTTATTCCATTGCAATTTGTTTGTAATCACTTAAGACTACATGCATGAATGGGTAAACCCTGGCATTTTTACATTAATTTTACAACCAAAAATATAATTACCTTATTCGATTTCTTAATCAAATAAATGGAAATTTATTGACTACAGTATATTTTTCCATTTAATGGCATATTGCCAAAGCGATATTTAATAAAACAGAGACAAAGATAACATTACATTTTGTTGACACACTAACAATACTATGATTATATTATCTGCCTATCATCCAAGATCTAATAGTCCAGGTCCAAGCTGGGTGTTGGAACTGTAAGAACACTGTAATATTATATAATATATCGTCTATCAATCAAGATTAGTCCAGGTCCAAAGCTGGACGAAATGGACTCTTTAGCCCAAGGGCAACTGTTTTTTAGGAGTAAAAAAAACTGCCAGTGGAGATAGAAAGTTAATGGTTAATAAGTCCAAGGTTAACACCATCGAATTTTAAAAGCTTGGTTTGCATCATGCTCACTGTTTGGCCATGCTTCAAGCAGAGGAGAAATTTAAAATGCATGAATGAATCAATACTTGTTTTGTGCAGAAATCCCAGATGCTGCAAAAAACCCATGACTTCAAGAATATAACACCCGCTGCATGATACACAAACTGAGCAAGATCACCAATCAATACACTCTATGTAACCATTTTATAGTCATCGCTGTGCAAATCTCAAGACTATAGGCAGCAATAAGAGCAAGAACCAGCTGATAAAGGTCAAGCGCTACGAGAAGTAAATGCTACAAGTCATTTAAATGGGCCTTAAGCGAAAGAACTGGCTGGTACGTCAAACGCGATGAGAGGCTAATACCTAAACTCAATACCTCATACTCATATAGGCAATATATAGTTTAACATGATTGAAGTTTTTCCAGATGCAAATAAAAAGAATTAATGACTTTAACTAATTGGAGTTTTAAAATTTGCAGTCAACTCTGCTGAGATGTGGTGGCCTCGGGCACCGCGGAACCCACCTAGTTTAACAGCAAAAAAAACAAGTTGTACACATACTAACACCATTGGCGATCTTTCCAATGAAATGACAAGTGACACTTTTAGCAGGATGTAAATTTTGTTGAGTGAGTGAATGTTTTATCAGTAATGGGATAAGGTCAACTATTACTGACCTGCATGAAGTCACCATACAGGGAGGAGAGAAGAGCAAAACCCATGGCAACCTGGAGGGTGTATAACAAGAAGGCTGAAAAAAAAAAGATTTTAAAATTTAAAAAACCCAGGAATCATTCCGAGCTGTAAAATTATAGATCTGTTTTTTACTGTCACTTTTAAAATTTAAACGTATTAATTATAAAATTAATTTTGAGCAGACATACCCAACATTTTATAGCATAAAAAGCCCACATTTATTTAAAGTCAAATTTATAATGGATTGAAATAAACGATTCTAAGAGCATTATTTAAATTTAGAATATAAGCTAAATCTCAAAAAATTTCTTTTGTGATCAAATTCAAGGGGTGCATAATGCCCTCAGCTATGTGCTGGTATCTTCTAAGTACAATAGTAAAGTAAATAAGGTATTTAGAACTTCAACAAATTCCATCCATACACAATCACAGTTATATACTCATTCATAAGCCAAATGGAAATATTTCAGCGGAATAATTGGGAGGGTCAGATTATGAGCGGGTCATTGCAAATTTTTATCATAATTTCCAGGTACATTGATTCTATTATTGTAAAAAGATTAATGGAAGCCAAAGTAAGGCCAGCTTCAAAATTTGCTCACAAGTTTTATCCTCATTTTGTTTCAGTCTTGATTGTCTGTGGTTAGAGAGAGTACTGTATCAAAGTCAGAGTATTTACACTGAATAATGAAGTTTTATAGTAAATTGCCAAGGTCCTTTACTTTTGATGTTCAGTATGGTTACCGGTACCACAAATTGAGATAGACACAAGAAGTGAGCATCTTTTTTATACATAATCGTAATACTAAAATTTGGATTTTAAAAAATTTAAATATTTTCTTTAGTACTTCACTGCTCCTATTGGAATGGGTTTTTTTATTTGGGTCGGCTTATGAGCAGGTTCCACACTTTTCAAGCTTTTGCCAGAGACAACTAAGGGAGTGGGCTTATCAACAGGTATATCCAGTAAGTTGCAAGTTATCCAAAAGAAAATTATCTAGCCCTCCACTTATTTGGCCTACATGTAGAACTATGCTATGTACACAATACTTACAAGTTAACAAGCCTGCAGTGATGCCTGTGGTGGGGTCTCTAGAATTCTCATAGACCAGTTTCCCTCCATACCACAAAACTGCAGATATGGCTCCATAGGCCAGGAAACTAAACAGACCATCCATTATGCCTAAGTGAGGGAGATGTCAATGGTTAAAAAAAAGTTAAAGCTTAAATAACATTCACATTTTTTATTTAGACTGTCACAACATAAGAGCTGAACTGCCACTGCCCTTAGGACAAATGAAAAATCTATTACAGTGCCCTTAGGACAAAAGAAATATCTATTATAGTGCTCTTAGGACAAAAGAAATATCTATTACAGTGCCCTTAGGACAAAAGAAATATCTAATACAGTGCCCTTAGGACAAAAGAAATATCATTTACAGTGCCCTTAGGACAAAAGAAATGTCTATTAGCACAGTAATTTATTCAAAAACTATTTCAAGTTTAACTATCATGTTATGTGGGTTTTTTTAAATTATTACAAAACTTTCACCCGCAAATTTTCAAAATATATAACAGACTTTGGCTTAAAAGATACCATTACTCAACTAAACTTTATTTGCGTCTTAATTCAAAAGGGAGTACTCTATCCTTCTTGGGTGTTACAAAAACACATGTGCTTGCTAATTTTTTATGATTTTTATTTTTGTTGTTGCTTACTATTTACCGTAACTCATTGTTTAAAAAAACTGTGGATTCTTAATTATAATCTTCAACAACTGTAAAGTATATTCATTTACCCTGGGCAAGGGCCAGTTTTTTCCCAATCTTATAGCTCTCATTAATGAAACCACTATAGACGGTCGTAGCTTTGGCTTCCCCTGAGAAAGACTTGACAGTTCTTACAGAAGACAGGGATTCTTCAGCTTGTGTTCCTGCATCAGCCAATCTGTCCTGGAACAGCTTCCGCATTTTACGAACAAATTTACCTGAAATGTGCAATGGGGGTAGATAAAATTAATTTACATGTGGAATGACACTTGAACTTTGTTGTTTACCCCTTAAACTTAATTCATACAAGACGATGATACAACATGCCAAACTTATGGAGTCAGCTCCTTATTAAAAGACTTCCAAAATCCATGCATAAAAATAAAAGCCCTGACAGGTACACACAAAAATTAAAGGAAATAACTTTCATCACCAGTCACAATTTAATTTTCATGCTGTCAAGAAATTTTCTGGGGCTTTTTTTTTTTGCATACAGCAATCGTTGCCCTTTTTTATTTTATTTTGATTGATTATGAATCACTAACCGACAGGGTTGGAGCTAATTTTACACTGTAAAATAGATGTACTGGTACCTGTCAGTCAGCTTCTACTATTATTTGATAAATTTTAAGCGCAGGGAATGATTTCTCAAAGTTTGCATCGCCGTGAGACGAGGTAAGCAAACATTTTATACGTTTAAAAAATGTTAAAATTTAATTTCAGATCACAAGAGCCCGAAGATGTACATTTAGAGTTATGTTGCAAACTGTTTTAAAATGCAAGTGATGTGCCCCAGTGTCAGATCTCAACGGTCTCAAAGAATTCTGCAATGCACCAGAGCCCTCCAACTGTATGAATGTGAATGTTTTGGTTTTCAGTTTGTATCAAGAAATGTGTTGTGTTACTCCTCAAGAAAATACGAGTCAACTGTACATCTTGTCTTAAGATCAAACATTGAAATTAATCATTGTCAAGCCCCATACACTAGGTGGGGATTTTCATACAAGATATGCAGGACTTTTAAAATTGACAAAGTTCATTCTAAGGGAAAAGATTTATTAAAAATCTCACCATACTGCATTGCGCTTAATGAAACAACAGGTACAATGGCCAGGAGAACCCCTGTTAGCGATGCATTCAGGAAGAACATGAGAGCCAAGGAGCCAATGATCTGAAGTAGGTAACGGAACAACATGGACAAGTTGACCTGAAAAGAAACAGCACCATTGTTATATTGCGATGCAGGAATTCAAAAATCACATTTCACATTGTTTAAATTGTGACAGAAAACACTGAAATAAGTATTTTTTATATAGCTACCAAATAGCATTCACATAAATGTACCTAACTAAAATTATAAATCATATTATATTGCACCTCAAATCAATGAATGAAATAAATGAATAGATCTGACACAACAAAACTGAATTTATTCCTTGTAATGAATTTTGTGTCCATCAAATCATTTCTCTTAGAAGCACATTTTTATTTCTCATTAATTCTCTGTGTTGCTAGAAGATGATTGAAATCATGATGGTCTTGTATACCTAGTATGTCCTATCTTGTGTACCTTTTGTGTGCCTATGAAGATTTTATTGGAGGTTACACATAGAGATGCATGCTATTGCCTGTGTCTACAATCAAAGTTTTCTCATGTTGTCTTGATATTTTCTTAAACTCACATTGTTATTATCTTTTTGGGTCATTGTTTCCCGCTAAGGATGATGAACTGCTTTGAAATGCTGATTTGAGATGTCATCGAACTCAAGTGACTTTGCCAGAAGTTCCAAGTAGCTAATATTTACCCCGCAGTTGGCACCATGCTATTAGCAACACCTTGTCCTGTCTTGTATACGGTACCTTGCAATGCATGTCCTGTCTTGTGTACCTTATATGTTCTATATTGTGTACCTTGTATGTCCTGTCTTGTGTACCTTGCATGTCCTGTCTTGTGTACCTTATATGTTCTATATTGTGTACCTTGTATGTCCTGTCTTGTGTACCTTGCATGTCCTGTCTTGTGCACCTTGTATGTCCTACTCCTAACAAAACAGTCTTGCTGTTGCACCATTCAGATAAGGTGATTGTCTAAAAAAAACAAATATTGTGAGATTCCACAACAAAAAGGACTTACCGTAACAGCATTCTGAAGAACTGTTGTGTCTGATGAAAGACGATTGCACAACTCCCCTGTGCTGATACATCAAACACAAACATTCAAAATCACTGTAGCTGCTGTTGACTTTAATTATTCTTTCACATAAATATTTATTTATAATATTTCTATTATATAACATAAGAGAATAGCAACCACCATGACATCAAGAAGTTATTCTTCAAGGGGAAAAAGCTATGAAGTTACTGCTAACATTCTCAAAGACTGATCAGAGTTACAGCTGAGAAAGTAATGGAGAGTAAAAATTTCAAATAAAAATAAAAGCAATTCATAAGCATGTTCATCAAAAGGCTCAACAAAGGCTCTCTCAAGTGGACTGAATAAATCCCAGAGTATTTTAGTATTATGGAGAACAATTTAATCATATAACACATAAAAGTGACAGTTGGTTTAATAAAAAATAAAGGCAAGACTACAGGCTTACCGATTAACATCAAAAAAAGCTATTTCTTGGACAATCACAGATCCGAAAAGCTGAGAACGCAGTCTTGCCACCAGTCGCTGACCAGCCAGAGTGAATATCCATGCCCTGACCAAACTGAAGACTGAACCAGCCAAATATATCAGTAGTAATATCAAAACCGTCCTGTTCAAACTCTCTGTGAAAAACAAAAAATAACAACATTTTACACAATTATTTTTAAAAATTGAGCCCATTCAATGATAACATAATGCATTTTCAGTTTCATTTTCACAATATCTTTTCTAACTTAACATTAAAAAATTGTATCAGGGAAATTACGCATGATCAAAATTTTAACAATTATCTATAATATATCAAGCTACTTCTCTTTTGCTTGACTTGTCCGACACAAGACAGACTTACAGAAATGTGTGCAAGAACATATTTCATACAAACATTTTTTAAAGGTCTTTAACCCAATATTGATCTATAATTACCCATGCTATCCAGAGCAGCATCAACTACTTTCCCAAAGAACAAAGGTGCTATTGTTTGTACGGCAGTTGAAAGTAGTAATGATACCATTCCAATAGATATCAAGCCAGCTTCCTGAAAGATATACCGGAAAGTAGTATTTTTAACACCAGGGAGACGGGCAAGTTAAAAGACCGTTAAACTACAATGTTAGCAAACCCAAGGAGTACTCGCATTTATTTTCTCATTTAAAACATCAACATTTTTGTCTGAATAAACTGAATTTATTTGAAAACAACAAGCATTTTAATTCCTTACTGGTTTGGCTAATCCCATTAATCTGACGAGGTTTGTTTTTCTCGGAAGTGGTTTTCCATCCTTGTCTACCTCCTTCCCATGACGATTGTAGAATTTTATGACCCGCTGCCTTTGTAACTTTCTCAAACCAAATTTAGACACAACAGAGAGGATGAAAATCAATAAACTTGACACAAGGCACCATATCACACAAGCATAAAAGGTTGGGTGCATTCCAAAGAAATTTTGATCATGTGTCACAATTTTCTCCAAAATAAGACTGGCTTTGATAACAACGAACACAAATATCAGAAAAGAAACTGAACTCAGCATGGCGATGTTTGACAGAAATTTACTTCGCAACACTGGATTGTAGGAAACATCTAAGAATTTTATGGCTGTCATTTCCAAACGGCGAACCATACAAAAATAAACTGGAATTTTCAACATGGAAAGCAAAGCAAGATCGAAAACTGATTCAGAAAGTTTAAAATGTTTAATGTTGTCTATAAAATACTTGGAGTCACCACCTGAAAAATAAAAATTTAATATATGAATGATTTTTATTATTTTTTTTGTTTCAATTTAAATTCTTCATATTCCGTCCTTTCAATTACAATTAAATTTCTTCAGTTTTAAATAGATAAATGGAATAATATATTCAGATTTTTTAAAAATGTTAATACTTCTTTTTCGACAATATTTTGGTTCAAAAGCTATCCATAAATTATCTCTACAGCTTTTGGGCAATTTTTTTTTTTTACCCCTTCACTCCCCTTTGTTAACAACTGTCACACTTTCAAGGACTCCTCGATTAACAATTATGTTGACAATTTTTTTATAACCCTTAGAGAAAATTCATTGAAAGCTTTATCTAGCTGATAACATTTTATTATTGATAAGCCAAGCTGATTTATCATTGCCATCATCTTGTAGACTGAAATCATCCTGGTCTATCCCTTCCGTTTCAGGGCTTAATAAAATTAGCATTTTCTCTTTATACAATAATTACCATCAGCTCTTTCTGTCTTTGAAAGACTCTCATATTGTCCTCATTGTTGAGGAGAGGTGGTAATTTTTTTGGCTAAAAACATATTGTCAGTTCTGATCAGACCATTGTTATGATATTAAGAATATTTAGCCATTAAAATTTAAAAGTACTTTATTATTTATTTTCCATCTTTTATGTTTTAAAAAGTACTAGAGAAAAATTGCATTGTTGACTTCAACTTAGTTTTACCGCAACCCCCACCCCCCATCCAGAACCTGGTATTAAAGAATTGTCTCACCTCTTCATTTTGGTTGATGTAATTTATGGGCATAGCCTCCACATCTTTAGATTTTTGTTTTTCCTTTTTAAATATTATTCATAAGAGTAAGTGGCTGATTTGTTTGAAGTATAACAGTTGCTTATGTAAAATCAAATTATAGAATTTCATCAATTATATAAAATTTAATGATACCTTTTTGAACTCTACAACTATTAACACAAAACAAAGGATGTTTCTACCTGTTAACCATAGAACCACTGCAACCAAAGCATCAACCAGCACAAATCCTCTAAATAATGTGCTGAATCTAATAAAGGGATAATGATGCCGAGACTTGATTTCTTCTGAGTCTAAACCGTCAATTCCACCATTTGGTATGGACTGTAAATGGTTGCCTTCTTCTTCACTTCTAAGGTTATCTGAATAGCCATGAATTTTTACTTCTGTATCATCTCTGTTTCTTCGATTCATCTTGAAATGTCTAGCCAAAAGATATACAGAGATAAATAATATGCACTAAATTGCTATATAAATTATAAATCATTTAGAATTTAAAGATTAAAAAATCAAATGCAACAAAATAATGAACATGACAGCAATGTAGTATCTGGACACTACATTGCAGCTAACATTTATATTTTATATTGTTTTTATTTATGTTCGTTTGCTGAAGAGGGCTTCTTGCTGACATGTTCGTTTTTGGTTGTGTTTTTTTTTCTTTTGGTCCTTTTTTCAGGTTTTCCTATACATTGTTTTGCTAATTTCCTTTTACCTAAGCGTTAATTTAATAATTTATTAATCCAGGCATCATCATACTAAAATACTATACTGATGTTTATAATTTAAACTTATATAAAAAAAAACATTTTTTTATAATTAAACTTAAAGCCAAAGTTGGCTTAAGTTTAAGTGAAGAATTTTTTTTTTTAAATCAATGACAAAATTACATTACAATATTAAAAGTATTCATTATCATTAATCAGGCCTTATGCTGGGCTAATGTGACAAATTACTTATACTTATGTAATAAGTTGTTAAGTTTATTTATATTTATTACATTTGAAGTTGATCTAAATCTAATGAAAATGAAGTTAGGCTACTTAAATTAGTTAAATAAGATTAAGAATAATGACTGTAACTGTAATTTAAATTAATAGTAGTTAATATTAATATGATTACTATACGTTATGATTATTATTAGTAAGTTAAGTATTGAACTCAAGACTTCAGACTGAGAAACGTAAGTCAAGTCCAAGTCATATTATTATTTTATTATTTATAAGTAGGCCTATAGTATAAGTGACAAGTCCAAAGTTGAGGTTGAGCGGATTTTGCGCCTACCTACTTTTATTTCCTAGATTAAGATTATTTATTCAAAACATTAAATGTATCTGAATGCTCCGTTTTCAAATTGATAGAAGACTGGAGGCATTTCATAAAGTATACTCGATACTGGCGATGCTAAATGGTAATTTCATCAGACATCAAAACATAACAGAGAACAATTAACAAATGCTCATGTCCATGTTGTCAATGACTCGGCAATGATGAATGTTTTATTAGAGTTATCTCTCTTAGATAGCTTATATAAATTACTAATAATAACCCGAGAAATTAGGAGAGAAAACAATACCTAATCTCCTTTTTTTAACGGCCAATGATATTTCGTACATAATATTATATTCTACAATTTAAAATAATGTACATATGTGTATATTTGTGTGAATGTGTATTTGTGTTTGTGTAGTGTGTGGTTTTCAAACGTTAACTCAGTCCTCAGTGGCGTCACTAGGAAGTGTGGACTGCACCGGGTGATACCCTCACGGGGGTTCCGGAAAGGGGGGCTGGGGGTGAAACCATGAGTTTACCGCTCCAGGTGACATCAAACCTAATGAGGCCTCCAGTTCAACAAAAATGTAAGCAATAAAACCTGGCGCCGGTAGAATAAGAAGGCGAACGGAAAGGGGGGAGGGGGGGGGCATTTTCGGCAAACTGCAGAGTTTTATTTTTCGTGAAAGATGGGTGGGAACAATCTTGGAGATGGAAGCGTTCGCAGGTAGCTATCACAATCTTAACGAAAAAAATTTTAAATCACTAAGGTGAAACAAAAATTAACATTCTCCGTGGCAGTGAAAAGGCTGGCTCCAACGGTGTTGACAGTTGACACCACAAGATTCTCCCATATCATATAGCACCGTGCACTTTCAGCAATTGCAAATAGTATTCCAATATAACAGTCAAATCATAGTTCAATTATTATTATTATTATTATTATTACTGGTTTTATATAGTGTAGTACACCAGCCTAGGGCTGGGCTAACCACGCTGTACTTACAATTTAACAAACATAATTTTAAAAACTTTTAAAAATTAATTGACATACATTAATTAAATAAAACAAAACAAATGTATATTTACTCCACCCATTCCAGAACTATTTACATGTCAATTCTTGGACGGCACCCAGCAGGATCGTTTATCGGTCAGAGGGGGGATCAGTCAGGATAGTAGAGATTAAAGAGATGAGTTTTGAGTGCCGTTTTGAAGGCTGTGATGGTCGGTATATTGTGGAAATGTAATGGAAGAGAATTCAATGGTTTAAGGGCACAGAAAGAGAAAGATTGTTCACCGTATGTTTGTGTGCGAGTCTTGGGGACAGAAAGAATACGCGCACATGACGAGGAGCCAAGCTGTCAAAGGGTTGAATAGACAGAAAGAAGTTCGGTAAGATAGGAAGGGCATGAATTTGAGAAAAAATTGTGGCAGAGAAACAGAGTTTGTAGTCAATCCGTGCTTGTACATGGAGCCAATGAAGTGAAAAAAGTTATGGTGTGACGTGACCCCCCCCCCCCTTTTTTTTTTTTTCTTTAGAACCAGCCTAGCAGCTGAGTTTTGAAAATTTCCAAATTTTTCTAAGAATTACAGGATCAACACGAGGCTGCTTTTATTTATAATGTTTTTTTTAGTTCCCCGTTTGAAAAAAATAAAACGTATATAAATAAGGCCCATGTGTTGAGCAATCCGTGTCCTGGCTTAGCAAGGCCTTCTTGATTGGTTCATTAATTAATAGTTTCCAGACCCAAAAAAAAGTAATATATCTTGTGTGGTCTCATCAAATTGTCACTTCACCTTTGCCCTTACGCAAATAATATGTGAACGGCGCCTGTGTCGATGCATACTCAGATCTCTTTGTGTGTTGCAATATATTTCAGCTGTACTCTCCTGCGGTTCCTGATAAATTAAATGAAGGTTGTGTATGAATTTTATTTGAGTAAATTGTATTTTAAAATGAAATTCAAATCAGCTCTCGGCTAAGAAGTTAAAGTAAACAGCAGTGTGCGTCTGTTTTGGGGGGGGGGGGGGGGGGGGCTGAAAATTTGAAAAAAAAAATGCATTTAAGTAACGCAGAATTAGTGCACCCCCACCCAAGGCTCACAACCCCAATTTTTCCCCTAATGAAGGTTGTGTATGAATTTTATTTGAGTAAATTGTATTTTAAAATGAAATTCAAATCAGCTCTCGGCTAAGAAGTTAAAGTAAACAGCAGTGTGCGTCTGTTTTGGGGGGGGGGGTGGGGGGTGCTGAAAATTTGAAAAAAAACATGCATTTAAGTAACGCAGAATTAGTGCACCCCCACCCAAGGCTCACAACCCCAATTTTTTCCCCGCCCCTGAACTATATTAATATTTTAGATATCCCCCCGCTTTGACACCACAAATTTATTTTACCAATCATTTCAAGAAAAAAAAATTAATAAAATATTACACACCAAATGCACCTGTGATATTTTTTTTAAAGAATCTCATTTTAAAGAATCTCATTTAGCGCATTTATCGGGAATTTTTATTTCTTGAAATAGTGGCATCATGTTTCCTACATCTTCCCTTTGAAAAACAGCAGTTTAAAAATTGAATTTTGGGAGTTGGGGGGGGGGGGCTGATAGAATGTGCTGTCATCGGTAATGAGTCTATGTGCCAAGTTTCAGCTCGATAGGTGGACGGGAAGTGGGTCAATTAGCCATCCAGCCAGCCATAAACAAAAGCGAAGTTAATATAAAGGATAATTTAAAAACTGATCAATTAAAAGTCGAGATATTATTTTTGCCAATTATTTTTCAATACGCGATGGGTACTGACTGACTCGTATATTATTGAGTCATCAATCGTTCGGTTCAACTTTGAAGCTCTGCGGGGTCATGAGCGCCTTACTTTAAGATCTTTGGACCTTCAATTAATTAAACTCGACATTCCAGTCATCATCGCCAAAAATTAATGAACACCGTCCACTCTCCGTTCATATTTACCCCAAATCAATGCACACTTTACACACCCTGGTCATATTCACGCTAAATGAATGTACATGTTCCACACTCCAGTCATAGCAGTAGTAACCACACAGTATCTTGCTCCGCGGCCGTGTGGAGGATGGTGTCGCCCCCCCCTCCCCCGAGCAAATACAAATTTTCTGGCCGCCACATATTTTCAAATAATGGTGTCAAACGTAATTGTATTTATTATTAAAATCGGGACTTGCCCCCCCCCAACCCCCCGCCCACACACCACCAAGGAAAAAAAATAATAAATAACCCAAGTCAGGGCCCCCAAGTAACTTACTCGGTTGCCTGTTGCCTCAGTCTCTGCACGGTCCTGCCAGGCTCCCATCTAACTACTTCATTATATTTTATATCTTTATTGGAAGCAGCGACCCAGACTTCTGATTAGTTCTATTCTTAAAGGAGTGTTCAATTCTTAAAGGAGTGTTCAATTCTTAAAGGAGTGTTCAATTCTTAAAGGAGTGTTCAATTCTTAAAGGAGTGTTCAATTCTTAAAGGAGTGTTCAATTCTTAAAAGAGTGTTCAATTCTTAAAGGAGTGTTCAATTCTTAAAGGAGTGCTCAATTCTTAAAGGAGTGCTCAATTCTTAAAGGAGTGTTCAATTCTTAAAGGAGTGTTCAATTCTTAAAGGAGTGTTCAATTCTTAAAGGAGTGTTCAATTCTTAAAGGAGTGTTCAATTCTTAAAGGAGTGTTCAATTCTTAAAGGAGTGTTCAATTCTTAAAGGAGTGTTCAATTCTTAAAGGAGTGTTCAATTCTTAAAGGAGTGTTCAATTCTTAAAGGAGTGTTCAATTCTTAAAGGAGTGTTCAATTCTTAAAGGAGTGCTCAATTCTTAAAGGAGTGTTCAATTCTTAAAGGAGTGTTCAATTCTTAAAGGAGTGTTCAATTCTTAAAGGAGTGTTCAATTCTTAAATGATGGATTACGAGCTTTTATTGCAAAAACTGTTGTCACTTGTTCGCGTTCTTGAATTTGATGTATTATTGTGTCATTGTTGGGTTTTTTTGTTGTTTTTTTGTTTTTTGTTGTTTTTTTTATCAACCTGTTGATGTTTGTTTTAACAAAGGTCATGACATGTTGATTATATTCATCAGACAGCTGCTTTATTCATCGATGATGTGTTTAAAGATTTGACTTTTTAATCATGTTTTAGAGTTTCCTATTGGAAATTGGCATAGTTTCATTACGTCATAGCACTGTAGCCACTAGCTCATGACGTCAGGGCACCATGGCTACTAGACTAGTAGTAACTAGTTCATGAACAGAAGTCTGGACTTGAGTGTCTTTGCCACCAGCGCCCTCTCGCGCCTAGCATTAGCGAGAATTGACTTGTTTTCCTGAGCCCTCCTAGACAGATAGGGCAGAGTGTCGGCTATTGACCCGTAAGGGATGGACTTGTAGATACGATACCCATCGTGGCCTGCCATGGAATAGATAAATACAAGTCAGACCTCACATACAGAGAATTAAGTGCCAGTACGTGGCTTCTTAAAGGCTGATGTCAAAGATATTTGGAAGAAACTATTTTCATATTAAAGTCAAAACAAAATATGCTTTATGGAAATTTGATCCAGAGAAAAACGTAGGTTCTAATAAAAGCATGACTTTCAAAAGGGGGCTACTTATATTCACGAAACAGAAGTTGTATTTTTTTTTAAACATATTTTTTTTTTGCCGGATCCATCAGATATTATTCATGTATTCATTGTGTCTGTAATCGGGGTGAGATGACTTAAGTCATGTCAGTACAGGGGAGTTGTTAGGGTTACTGCCACCTCAGGGAGGGGGTCAATAATTTAGCCTCCCTTTCTTCATAAAAGACTCTGATATTGGCCAAGAATGGCGTTCCTTCATATAAAGAGAAGCGCGCCGCCAGTGGATGGACCTCCCTCTCCACCCCATCTTACGCCGCTGTCTTTTAATCATTTCATGTCTGACTTGGGGAAATGGCTTCAGCTACAAATTCGGTTATAACCAAGGCACTCTGTCTAATGACTGACCTAGAGTAAAAGACACGTGATCTGCCATGCCGTACAGCTGACCAAAGAAGACGGAGCCTCCGTCCTTACGAATCCCCAGCTCAGCCATTCTGAAAAAAAAGAGGCCGTTTTATTTTAACATAGACGCGATGTAACTATGGCTGAATCTTGTTAAAAAATATAACCAGCCCCAATGGCCTAGGGCAGGATTTAAATATTTCTAAGCCTTAGCCAAGAGCACATAATTTTGCCGCCCCCACTATTAAACAAATGAGCAAATGAAAAGCTCAAATTATTATTTTTTTTTTTTCAAAGAAAGGGACGTAAATAAAGTTTACGAGAGCTATTCCCCTTTTAAAATCATCATATTTATAATTTTAATGTCGATAAGGGCGATTATAGAGGACGATCATATCAGCCGTAACATAACAGAGCAGCCATAATGGCCGATGGGGGCCAAGAGTTGCGTAGTGGGGAAAAAAGTTGAACTTTATATTTGAATTCAGGGAGCAAAGAACCGAAAAGAAAGAAAAGGGGGAAGGGGTCTAACTGTGTTCCATACGTATATTGCGATGTAACTATTGTAAACTTAATGTATTTAATGTTTAAGTTACCGGTTTTAACCATCCCCAAAGTTTTGAAATTGTTCTCAAGTGCCTTCAGAATGTCAAACATTTGAATAGTTTTTAAACAGTTCATTGTAATGTATTATTACAGTTCCTTTGTTGATGTAATTAATTACTGTCAACTTCATCTGAATATCATTTTATACAACATTATTCTATTAAAATCTTTAAAAGATTGACGGTCCTACAGCATTGACTATTTTAGGTTCAGTGTCAATGTCATTGTGTTTCAATTGTTGCTACTCATGTCGATAGACAATGTCCCGTTTTACCTTCTATTGTTGCTACTCATGTCGATAGACAATGTCCCGTTTTACCTTCTATTGTTGCTACTCATGTCGCTAGACAATGTCCCGTTTTACCTTCTATTGTTGCTACTCATGTCGATAGACAATGTCCCGTTTTACCTTCTATTGTTGCTACTCATGTCGATAGACAATGTCCCGTTTTACCTTCTATTGTTGCTACTCATGTCGATAGACAATGTCCCGTTTTACCTTCTCATGGCGTATCTGACGGTGTCTTCGTTGTGGGAGGCAATGAAAAACCTCAGAGAGAGCGGACGACTCGTCATCACATTGGTCAGCAGCAGATCAAGGCAGGAATGGTAACTCTCTGTTGTTTTATCAAAGGACTCGTGCACGGGGTCCTCATAACCAAGTTGACGCGCCAGTTGTCTTTCCTTGACCATGTAGGCGCCCCTCACTAGTTTGAGCCCGAAGCAGAAGCCGTTGTCTTTAGCGTATGCTACGTCACTTCCCAAGATGGACGGCGTTGCCTGTTTTAAAGTTAATTTTGATATACGCTGTAGTCAAGTGTTATACAACCTTTACCATCACACTAATTGAGTTTTAAACTAACTGAGAACACTTCAACCATATATTTTTTTAAAAACAATTTTATCAAGACCTATACCGAGAATTCAAAAGTTTACATGTTTCTTTGACTTTTGTTATGCACGGAACTGCCATCAAAACTGCCCTATTGGAGATTGCGATGCGGTGGTCAATGTCTATTCACTCATAGAACAGCATTGGCAAAGCTTGCTACCTCTTATTTAGGGCGTGTGTACAGTGGTTTAGAGAGTATCAAGTTGATACTTAAGCAGATCGGAAGCGATAATTAGCTACACGACAGAAGTGGACTTGCAACATAATATAATGTTGACAATCCTTGTATAGTTGTAAGCCACCCAAAAAAAGGGCAACTGTGTGGTAGATCTTTATCTTTCAACGAATAGACATCGAACAGTGGTTTGAATCAGCACAAGTCATCCGATGCATGGTTCATTGCTTGCACAATAAAGTGAGGTACAATTTAGTGGCTTGAGATGCTTGAATGAGCTTATTATCTGAACTCGTTGGCTATTTGGGCCGTTTTAAGACCTTTTTAGACCCTAACCCCTGACGGGAAGGACGGCCATGATTGCGTCATCGAGAGTTGAAATTGTCGTTTATTCTATTATGTTTATTTATATTAAATTATTTGACGATTTCCTAGATCCGACCTTGACCTCATGTACTTTAATAGATAGATGCCGCTGTCAATTTTTCATCACTTATTTTAATGTCAAGTTGTTGTTTTGTTAAAAATCAAAGTCTCTACCTGACCTTTTGAATAAATTGTACGTATTTGACTTTCAGATAGCCCTTGTGTGTAAAGGAAAACTTGGCTTTGTCTGTGTTTCAACCTTCAACCTATAAGTCGAAGCCGAAGTAATTTACCTTCATATAACCCTTGTGTGTGAAGAACAACGTGGACTTTTCTGTGTTTCAACCTTCTTATTGGTCAAAGCCGAAGTAATTTACCTTCAGATAGCCCTGGTATGTGAAGAACAACTTGGCCTTTTCTGTGTTACAATCTTTCATCATGGCCAGGGCGAGCAACCTTAGGGCGGGATTAAGGTATGTGTACTCGGCATCAACAAGCCCAATGACGTCAACAGGTTTCATGGCCTTTTGCAAAAACAAGAAAGTGTTGAGAACATTTATCAGATTAAACAGGATTGTATTGTCACATGAAGCAGGCATCGAGAACGTCGGCAGCAGAGTCGTAACGCCACTCAAGGAATCCCCTTGTCACTTTTCGTATTTGTTCAATTGCACTTAAATATGATAAATTTGATACTTTTCATCTCACAATTTTTTTATCCCTTTAATACACGACGACACCCCCCCCCCTTTTTTTTTTCTACAGCTACAATGTTTTCGGGGCCCCCGTGACGGCTCTGGTAATCAGGCTAGACATGGTGTTGGTACCCACTTCACGACAACCCACACAATTTCAAAGGGACCAAATGAGTTAAACTAAATTACTATTAAAAATCCCTTATTGAAATACCTCGGCTTCTTTCGTTATCTTCCGTCGAGAAGTGTATTAGTTTAATTCAAATCATCATTGTAATTTATATGAAAAAAAATTAAATACAATGACCTAAATTGTTTTTGTTTTTTTTTAACCCTGAGATAAATCTCGAAATATCCTCACCTCACTGATTTTGCCAAGTCTCCGAAGTGCTCTACTGAAAACGTCAATTTTATCATCCGGAAAACTGCTCCACCCTGGCAACTGTTCACAGAGAGCAGACGATGTGTTAGAAGGAAATAATCGTGTTTTGAAACAAACAGCATAACAAAAATTGAAAGCTTTAAATAAAGCAATAATCAGATGATAGTGAAAAGCATTTTCGGATGAAAATGAATATTTACATTATTAATTGGAGTTAAATAAGTGACAGGTGAACTCTTTAACTATAACCAAAATTGAGCAATGTGCATCATTTAAAGACAAAGTTATATTTTAATTTCTTAGATCTTAAATACTCCGGTGAACTTTAAATAAAAAATTTAATTTAAAAAAACGCAGTTTTAAATGACTAAATTTTGATCTACTTAATCTTCCATGGCTGGACACTGTGCCGTCTTAAAACTAAAGGCATGGGCCCAGTGGACACTGGCCCAAGGTCCCGCGATTGTATTGTAGGAGGCCCCACTTTTCTAGGAGACTCATTCTTATAGAGGCATCGTGCTTTACATATTTTTAATGAATATTGAAATATTGTTACAATTTAATTGGATTTAAAATTACCTATTTCTCAATTTTAACCCACGATATATATCAGCACATTCCAAATTAATATTATAAATGCGAATCAAAGTTGGACAATTTTAAAACTTTTAAAGGGGGATAACTCTCATTAACAAGTTTTACTCTTCCCAGAAATGAATCGAAAAAAAAGAAAAAAGTTAAGAATCAGCTTCGCAGTACAATGACAATGGGCAACACCGGCCTTAGATTTAGATAAACTTTCACCCTGTGCGATGACCGTTCGGCGCCACATTCCCTGTCCCTTTATGATCCATGATTATTTTTTCTGCTTTGCGCTTGCGATTTTGCGCCCTGGAAATCTTTTTGTTCCCTATTTTTTTCTGCTAAAATAATTTTAAAAGGGACAAGGAAATACGTTATTAATAAATTAATTTCCACATCCTTTAAGTTGGTCCTAATCCCAGTGTTGGTATCCAAATTAAGAATGCAACTTTCATTGTACGAAAACTTATTGTATGAAAAGCGATTGTACGATAAGTTAGAATAACGTTTCTCGACCACGGTCCGAGGCTCACACATCACTATAGTAAACTAAGGTAATTTAAATAATTACTGGGCGCCCCAGTCGCACATCCTAAAGGATGGCGTTGCAGTGGGACAAAAACTTTTGAACTGGCATTCAATTTGTGCATGAAAAATGACATCCTTAAGATCACTGACTTTAAACCAAAAATCAATGATAAAAACATTATCTGCAAAAAAAAAAAAATAAATAACGCAAACGATTATTTTGATTTATATTAAATAATTTATTATATCTATATGTCAATAATGATAATTTATCACCCTCTGACTCTGTGATTATTTATAGTTAATTTCTGAGAATGTTTTAAAACTATTAATGATTTTGAAGGATTTTTTTATTTATTTTTTTTTTGTATCAATAAATTGTTTAACTTTATTGAATGTTTATTTTTATTTTACATTTTTATTCCTCTTGTTGAGTTGGCGGGGAGCAGGAACTGTTTGCCCCCAACCCACTGTTTGAGCATGGGGCGAGTGCCCCCCTTCTTACGGCCTAGGTATTTTGTGTTGCTAGGGGGCCCCAGTGCATTGCTGTGCCCAGGGCCTCCTATGTTGTTAATGCGGCCCTGACTGGACACACAAAATTTATTAACGGATTTGAGTCTGGAGGCGATTTCCTTCAGTAAGTGTAATGACCATGGAACAGTGCATTGAACATTAAACATTTACACTTCATTCTCAAGAATTATGATCATAATTAGTATTCGCAGGCTTACACGCTGGACGAGATTGTTGGCCTTCAACAGACTTATGTACAACTATTTTGTGTGCTTGAATCAAACCACCACTTTGAGCACTGGTAAGAGCGTAGAGACATTTAATGTTACGCCAAAGTTCTAAAGAAACTCACCTTTACTTTGAAATTTTCACATTTTATCAACACTTTGCGAGGAACATGTGTATCTTTGTTCATTGTTGTAGTATATATTCACCATACATTTACAGTGAATTAATTTTTTTTTTTTTTAAATCCTTTGTATATTTCTGGTTTAAGCATTTCTGTGCTGCTGACCTACCTCTATGTTTCAAATGGTGGGCCGCATGAACATGCTTTAAACAACGAATGCTGGCGTTAGGCATCAAGCTAGCATTGTCCAATAAACACAAGCTCTGAACACAATCTTCAGTAGTATCAGTACTTTAGAACTTTAAAAAACGTGGTACTCTTAACAAACACTTTCGATTTGAAAGTCAGTTTTAAGAATAGTTGCTTAAAATGTGGGGTGCCAAACCAGGTTAGAGTTCGAAATTTTATTTTATTGGAATAGTTGAATGGAGACAATACCAGGCACAGAAAAATGGCGCACCTCTCTACGTCAATAGGAGCCAGAATGATCCATACATTGATCGTGAAGGAAGAATTAGAGACATAAATAATCGTATAACTTACTTGTGAAAAGTTGACTGGCCTTCCTTTCATGCCAGCTATAATGGCTTCAATGACTTCCTGGTTGTGAGTTGTCTCCGAGCATAATTTAGATACCGTTTTCTGGATAAATAAATAAATAAATAAATAAAATTCTAAATTGTTAGGAGCAAGAGTTTTGTTGTGGAAATGGTTTTAGGCCCTTATGATGGTGGGGACAAAATTAAGGAGCTAATGTAAGAAATAAGCTAACTGGTGCAGTTTACAGAGACCAAGGGATGATGACCCACTTAATGACAGATGGGATGACCCACTTAATGCCAGGTGGGATGACCTACTTAATGCCGGGTGGTGTGACCCATTTAATGCCAGGTGGGTTGACTCACTTAATGCAAGGTGGGTTGACCAACTTAATGCCAGGTGGGATTACAAACTATGCAAGATGGGGTGACAAACAATGCAAGCTGGGGTGACAAACTATCGCAAATGGTATTACCTATTATCCCAGATAGTATTACCAACTATGCCAGGTGTTATGACTAACTATGCCCGGTGGGGGACCAACTATGCAAGTGGGATGACCAACTATGCAAGTGAGATGACCAACTATGCCCGGTGGGGGACCAACTATGCAAGTGGGATGACCAACTATGCCCGGTGGGGGGCCAACTATGCCTGGTGGGAGACCAACTATGCCAGAGGGATGACCAACTATGCCCGGTGGGGGGCCAACTATGCCTGGGGGGGGACCAACTATGCAAGTGGAATGACCAACTATGCCCGGTGGGGGACCAACTATGCAAGTGGGATGACCAACTATGCAAGTGAGATGACCAACTATGTCCGGTGGGGGACCAACTATGCAAGTGAGATGAACAACTATGCCCAGTGGGGGACCAACTATGCAAGTGGGATGACCAACTATGCCATATGGTATTACAACTATGCAGGTGCGATTACCAACTATGCCAGGTGGGGGACCAACTATGCCCGATGACATTACAACTATGCCAGGTGGGATGACCAACTATGCCAGGTGGGATGACCAACTATGCGCTATTTCAGCTATTGCTCTTGACACCATTTAGCTCACTTATGCCACTTGTGCACAAGAAGATATTGTTAAGTCCCATACCAATATGTCCCCGCTCATCAAGGCACTGAATCTGTATTGGAACATTGGGTGAGGATCGTTCAGCCGTAAGGCCAGTTGGAGACTCGCCAATATTTTTTCTAAGCTTTCGTCAAAAAATTCTTCTTGTGGTGGCTCCCTGGAAAGAGTTCAGGCATGAAATGACTAAACAATCATGGCATACAATTAAATTGATTAAAAACCATTATTGTTTTATACAGAAGTTCTGTAACAGAACATGTAACAAGAAGGTTGCTAAATGTAGTGATCAATTCTGATTTATTTATCTGCTCTGCAAGTGTGTTTGTTTGTTTTGTGTGTGTGTGCGGTTTTTTTTTTTTTTTTTTTTTTTGTTTTTGTTTTTTTTTTTTTTTTTTTTTTTTTTTTTTTTTTTTTTTTTTGTTTTTTTTTTTTTTTTTTTTTTTTGTTGTTGTTTTTTTTTTGTTGTTGTTAAAATCAAATAAATATATATATCTTAGGTTTATCTGAGGTAAGGTTTAACTAAATGTTAATCTGAGGTTTTTGGAACTTATGAAACTAAAAGAGTATCTTAAAATTTTGATTATAAATAGCAATCGTCAACGAGATTAGTTTTAATTTTACAAATATATTCGTTAAATTAAAATGCTGATTTTTAATTAAAAAGTTGCCTCACATTAATTTTCTTAATACAAAAAGAAATTAATTAGTTTTGCTCATAATTTGGGGGGGGGGGGCGCGACAACATGTGAAATTAATAATTATATACACTCATTTCTTGCTGTTCTCTAACCCATTGTTATTTCATCTCACAGATATATCTATATTTGTAGCTAATGTAAATTGTGTCACCCCCCCCCCTTTTCAGATTGATGTTAAACTGTCTCATGTGATAAATGTATTCTGACAGGAGATGTCACTTTTATAAATTTGATAGTTTAATAGTTTTAGTCTTTTAGATTTAGTTTTAATTAGTTATTAATTTTTTAAAGTGTGACGTACTTTTGGGGGTCTGTGACAGGAGGAGGGAGGGGGGTAAAAATTGTCCGAAAATAGCCGGTAGTACTTTATGAACGGCTCCCTTCTGACTTTTTGTCCCTAAGAGTTACCCATTTGCGTCACATTCGATGGGGGTTTGTCCCTAAGAGTTACCCATCTGCGTCACATTCGATGGGGGTCTGTCCCTAATAGTTACCCATCTGCGTCACATTCGATGGGGGTCTGTCCCTAATAGTTACCCATCTGCGTCACATTCGATGGGGGTGCACAACATCGGTCCTACGCCTCCATGACGTAGCCTGGCGATGACTTCAGCTAACTCATGAGGAGTCGTACCGGCCACAAACTGGTCGTAGACGGTCCTGCCGATGAGGACGTTTGAGATACGTCTTCCCAAAATCTTGTAGCACAGCGACATGAGCTGAAAACATTGAGTAAACCTTTAGTAGCAGAGTGACATGAGCTGAAAACATTGAGTAAACCTTTAGTAGCAGAGTGACATGAGCTGAAAACATTGAGTAAACCTTTAGTAGCAGAGTGACATGAGCTGAAAACATTGAGTAAACCTTTAGTAGCAGAGTGACATGAGCTGAAAACATTGAGTAAGCCTTTAGTAGCAGAGTGACATGAGCTGAAAACATTGAGTAAACCTTTAGTAGCAGAGCGACATGAGCTGAAAACATTGAGTAAACCTTTAGTAGCAGAGTGACATGAGCTGAAAACATTGAGTAAACCTTTAGTAGCAGAGTGACATGAGCTGAAAACATTGAGTAAACCTTTAGTAGCAGAGCGACATGAGCTGAAAACATTGAGTAAAACTTTAGTAGCAGAGTGACTTGAGCTGAAAACATTGAGTAAGCCTTAAGTAGCAGAGTGACATGAGCTGAAAACATTGAGTAAACCTTTAGTAGCAGAGTGATATGCGCTGAAAACATTGAGTAAACCTTTAGTAGCAGAACGACATGAGCTGAAAACATTGAGTAAACCTTTAGTAGCAGAGTGACATGAGCTGAAAACATTGAGTAAACCTTTAGTAGCACAGTGTTACGTTTAATGTTATTTTTATCGGTTGTAATCAGGGCGTCATTTCGTTCTTTTTTCAAGGGGGGGGGGGACAAAACTTGGTCGGCTTGTTAACTTATTTATTACTTGAGGCGCCACAGAACAATGCAATTTAAATAAATCTGCAAATTTTCGGGGGTGGGGGGGGCGGCGAATTCCCCACCCTGCCTTGCCCAAATGACGTCCCTTGTTGTAACCCTTCAAAGCTTTGTACGCCCAAGTCACCATTTCGACCCAAACTACTGGATAAATTGGCCACGTGACTAGTGTTTAGCTTGTATCTTTTCAACTTAATGATACTCTCTTATTGTTAAATGGTTGGTGGTTGGCTTTTGAAGCCTTAACGAAATTTGCAAAGAGACCATACAATCTTCCTTAAACATTACAAACCCACAAACACACAAACACGTCCACTTACGTGTACAGCATTGTCGGTAAAGGCGGAGAATTTGCAGAAGAAAAACACGGTGAGGGTCCTCACAAGTTCCCATGTTGTTTTGCTGCCGTACGCCACTTGGTAGTTGCCGAAAACATCAACCTCATCTCCAGACTTATTAGGCTTCACAGAATAGTCCGGACTTTTCCCGGAAATTCTCCCGTTTCTGGATATCAAAACATTTGATGACGTCGTAAAATTCCTCCCGTGGTTGTTACAAGACTCGTAACCTTTTAGGTCTTGCTGTTTGTTTAGAGAGAGATCTTCGGTCAAAGTGGAAACCCGTCGAAGAGATGACCAGTGAGATGCTACATAACGCTGGCGTTGCTTAGTACAAGTCCACCTTTGAGCGCGGGTACCTAGAACATTAACGCTTCCTGTACTGGCTTCAGCAAGTGAGTTAAACAGACTTCGTGCCTTGTGTTTATACAGATTTGAAGACAGCGATCTCTGTATAAACTTCAGCGATCCCATCATCACTTGGGAAAGATTCTTTGAACGGCTTTAGGATATAATGGACACTTGGTCGGTGACGAAAGGGGTGTTTCTATTGGTGGTCACGTCCGTTTTTCATGGCGTGACCAGATACTTCAAGATTGACCGAAACGTCTCTATTAGTGTATTAACCTCAACTTTGGTCCCGTTCAAAAACAGTGACGTATCCAACTGCGGTGGATGAGGGCTAGACTGAGAGACATTTTTTATTTTTATTTTTTTTTACCTTTTCCCCCACGGATTTAGAGCATTGTAGAATCAAATGAAATAGTAATGGTGGTGGATCCTCCCCCGTTACTCTCCCTTTGAATAACTGTTAAATGTTATCGAAGTGGCTATTCGTAACCGGGTACCAGAAGTGAGAGGTTGGGATAAAAAAAAACATTTAAAATTTTATTGTTGGGTTCGTAAGACGACATGAGGTATCAAATGAAAGATAATTGAATGGACTATTTGTTTGTAAACTTAATTCTTCAGTTTAACTAAAATAAGCTACCACAAATGACATCCGAATAGCATGGTACCCGGGTGCGAATGGCGGTGCTGCGTATCTGGGTCCATTTTGACTCAGTGCTATTCGGATCATTAAATAAATAAAAAAAATTAAAGGGTCAAAATTATTCTTTAATGAACAAAGTCCTAAAGGTCTTCTACACAATTCCGAACACTATATTATGAAGAAAGAAAAAAAACATTATGTAGCATTCTGTAGCATTCTGTAGCATTCTGTAGCATTCTGTAGCATTCTGTAGCATTCTGTAGCATTCTGTAGCATTCTGTTCACGGCAATCATTAATTTGCTTGATCAATCTACACGCAAATCTCATTGAATGACACGTAGTTTTTCATACTGTAGTCCCGTGGTTTCATTAGGTCCACGGTGTTGGCCCTTACAGCATAAAAGAAACATCACTTTCTGTGTCAGCGTTGTGATGTAGGAGTGGTCCTCAATCGTGTGGCGTCCACAGCCCGCCACTGTAGTCAATTTTGGCAAATGTATCCCTTAAGATGCAAATGATTCAACTACATTATGCGTTTGAAAACATCATTCTGATGTAATTATTGCATGAAGATGTAGACTATTGTTGCAAACTTTATTTTTTAGACGAGAAGATCCAGGGGAACCATGCTTGGAGTTCCTGACATACAATCTCTGTGGCGTGGCTTATCTTTTCTTTTTTCCCGTAAATTGGTCAAGATAAAACATTGTATCGCGTCCTTAGAAGGATTGCCCTTGTAATGCTTGGACTAATTATTTAGACTAACCGATCTAATGCTTGGGCCAATTACTTAGGTTAACTGTTCTAATGGTTGGACCAATTATTTAGACTGATCGGTCTAAAGCTTGGAGCAAATATTTAGTCTAACTTGACTTATGATTGGACCAATTATTTAGACTAACCGGTCAGTTTTATAAAAAGAATCACGGGTAAATGTTAAAGCGAAACAATGGCGAAACCACTCTACAGTGAGGCCTCAATAATAATGTAAAAACTCGGGCAATTCCTTAAACGGCTTTAGGATGATTCATTCAGGCATTCAGACGAAACTATTATTTGATTGTCTTGTTTTGTTATTCAAACTACCGAAAATTGTTTAAATATATTTTTTTCAAATTGAAATTCGTTTTTTTTTTTTTTTTGTTTGTTTGTTGTTTTTTTTCAAATTGAAAATGTATGGTTATTTTGGTAAGACAATTCTTATCAGTTACATTTTCATCTTGTTAAATTTCATTTTTCCTTATGTTTAGATTTTTTGTGTGACTGTGTTCAGGGCCGTGCTCAATTGCGGGGAAAGGGGGGCGTAGCTCTCAAGTCGTAACCAGTCCCTAAGAATTTTTACCAAATTGTAATCATGGGTCGTTTAAATTTTTTATTTTTTTTTTTTAAATTTAGTAATTAAACACATTAGCATGATCGTTACTATTACTGCCCCTTATAATCTGTAAAGGTTACTTGCCCTTATCGTGAAGCCGACGCCAATTTGTTAGAAACGTTGTTAAAGATCACTAAGCAGTTCTGTTAAACTCACCAGTGAAACAAAAAGAAAAAAAAAAAAAAGAAAAAAAAATGATGGAATGATCTTTGCGATTAACAGTCAAAGATCATAATACAAAGTTGAACGCGGCAATTTTAAGATACATGACAGCTTTCTATTGTGGAGTAAAAGTCTGTTTACACGCCACGGGATTCTAATTATGCATATCAGAGGGTCACATCTTGAGGTTTTCCACTCCAATTTTAACAATGTTACCTGTAGGCATAGTAACCAGTAAACAGTGTTACCCGTCGGCATAGTAACCAGTAACAGTGTTACCTGTAGGAATAGTAACCAACAAGCAGTGTTACCTGTAGGCATAGTAATTAGTAAACAGTGTTACTTGTAGGCATAGTAACCAGTAAATAGTGTTACCTGTAGGAATAGTAAACTATAAACAGCGTTACCTATAGGCATATTACCAGTAAACTGTGTTACCCGTAGGCAGAGTACAAGTAAATAGTGCTGTATTTTGAGTATTCGCGTATTTAACAGCTTCAAATTTGAATTGCAATTTTTAAAAAATCTAGAAAATGAGAGTAAATACAGAGTCATTGAAAAATTGCTCAATTAAATTTTAATTCAAATCATAAATAGAATAGTAATCAATTTATGAAAATGATAGACAAAAATGAATCCTAACAGGCATTTGCTATTTACATGACTAATTTCATTCAAATTTCGTTTTTATACCCTTTTTAAAAAAATAATTAATTTGGTCTTTGATATGGTGATAGCTTGTGGTAGACTGACAGGTGCTTTAAAACTCTCTAGGTCAGTGTTTTCCAAAACAGTAGTGTGTCGCCTGTAGGGTGTAGGTGTATCGCACAAAATAATCCATGCCATTTACGCCAAAATTGGTCACTGTAAAACAAAAAAAAACGGTAAGAATGAATAAAGAAATATAATGTAGTAATGCTAATTATGTGAACAAATATTTGTCATTTGTTGGCTCTGGCGAGGTCGGGTGCTGTGTATTCGAACTGATTGAAAATTATGCTGCTTACAATTTTTGTATAGAAAAATAAGGAAAATAAACTTTGTGATCTAGTTCAAAACAATTTTTTTTATTTATTATTATTTTATTTCTTCTTCTTTTTTAAATCTTTTATTATTATTATTTTTTTTTTTAAATGGTGTATCTGGATCATGCTGACAAATTTGAAAGCTCAAAAATAAAAAAAAATAAAAAACAACAACAGCAAACAATCAAACAAAACACTAACATGCAAGGAAAATAACAGCGGTATATCAAATGTGTGGTAAAGGATTTGGGTCACTTTGGCGCTTTGAAATGGACAGTAAAAGAAAAACATTGGGAAAAAGTATTTCAAAACAAACATGATGGCAGCTCACTATATAAGGAGCTTTAGTCACTGCTCTAAGGAGCTTTAGGCACTTAAGGTGCAGTTATTGTAAGGAACTTACTAATGGGCTTAATTTCTAAATTGTTTTTTTTTTTAAGCTATGATTGTGTGTTGCTTTTTAAGCTATGATTCTTCTGTTGTTTTTTTTTAAAGCTATGGTTGTTCTGATTTTTTTTCCTTGTTTTTTTTTTTTTTATTTTTTTTTTTTTTTTTAATTTTTTTATTTTTTTTTTTTTTTTTTTTTCTTCTGTTTTTTTTTTTTAAAGTTTTTTTTTTTTTTTTTTTTTTTCTTTTTTTTTTTTTTTTTTATTTTTATTTTTTTTGTTAAATTTTTAATTTTTTTTTTTTTTTTTTATTGACGAAATGTGTGGCACGGCTGAGCACATCGGGCAGATAATATCTCCATACATAACAAAGTTGGAGAATAAGGGGAGAAAAGAAAATGAAAGGGAAATAACACACTTCTTTAAGACGTTAAACATCAAAAGCGGGATTTTATGAGACTGGTGTCTCTTGGCGAAATAAATAAAAGAAAGTAAGGTTAAACCTGAAAAGGAACGCAACAAAACAACGAACGTGTCGACAGGAAGCCTTCGTCAGCGAACAAAACAACAAAAAAAAAACAATAAAATTTAAATTTAAAAAATAGCACTCTGCTTAGAAGTAGTATTCGAGAGGGCAGCAAATGAATAATTGTAGCGACAGCTGACGTGAATAGAATAAAAGATACAATGTAAGCTCACTGACTAATTTGGTAAGTGACCAAAAATGGGAAGCAAGAAGACCATCATTTCTCAGTCGCGATATTTAACAAAAGATTGATCGAACCCAAACTACTGAAAGTGGCGTAAATACATAATATGCAGGCAGGGGGTATAGCAATTGACTAAAAGCTGCACGGCACGAACTCTCAAGAGTACGCATGGCTTTATATAATGATTTAATGATAGGCCTATAAATAAACTCAAAAATGACCAATCGGGACTGTAGCCTCTGATCCAACACTCTCTCGTGTGCTAAAATCAAAGACTGTGATTGGATGAGTCGGATGAGGAATCCGTTTTTTTTTTAACTGAGCGATGGACGTTTTCAAATAATTAATGATTGAAATCTATTTAAAATGATAAATGGAGAAGACGATTTTTAGCTTTTGATTTGCGTTTCAAAATTTCATTCACAATGTAAATTAAATTAACGCACTTTATGAATGTGCCAGTACATCTTAAAATACGGTAAAGTTTGATCCCCGATTGACGGACTGAGTCGCGAAATTAACAAGCACCTCTCTAGACTGAAAAGAAAAATTGACCAAGAAAAGTAACTGTTGGTCTTCCCATGCAAACTAAGCAGATTTCAGAGTGAATTAGTTCACACTGTCCAAGCCCAAATTAGCTCAAAGGCATTTTCACCATACATTATAGGCTGAATCTCATTATTATTATTTCCTTATCGTGTTCAGGGACAAGGCTTATCTTTTAGGTGCATTTGATGTCCAAGCGAGACTGCTAATTCTAAAGGCAAAAAGAAAAGCGTGATAGCGTCACACCACTACTTCATTGGCTCCCTGTACAAGCACGGATTGACAACAAACTCTCTGTTCTCTGACACAACTTTTTCTCGAATTCCTCCCCTTCTTATCTAACCGAACTTCTCTCTGTCTATTCACCCCTTCGCTCCTCCGCAGATGCACGTATTCTTTCTGTCCCCAAAACTCGCACAAAAACATACGGTGAACGATCGTTCTCTTTCTTTGTCCCCAAACAATGGAATTCTCTTCCATTACACATCCGCAATATACCGACCATCACAGCCTTCAAAGCTGCACTCAAAGCACATCTTTTTAAACTCTACTATCCCGGCTGATTCCCACCTCTGACCGAAAAACGATGCTACTGGGCGTCGTCCATGGCTTGACATGAAATAGTTTTAAATATACATTTAAAAAAAAATAATTAATTAATGTATGTCAATTAATTTTTAAGACTTTTTATGTTTGTTAAATTGTAAGTAGGCTGGGGTACCACGCTATATAAAACCACTTATAATAATAATAATATAACCTCGGGCGGGGAACTTTTGTAATAGTCTTTGGGGCGTTCTGTTTACATTGATTAATCACTTATTGCTCTTTTTTTTGGGGGGGGGGGGTTGTTTGCAGTCGCTTAATACATATCGAGGAGCAGACATCGGGAGCGCGGGTGGAAGGGATGGTTGGGGGGGGGGGGCTT